TACCGTTCCAATTACATAAAAATACGGTTATAGTATGTTATGAAATATATTTATATGTAGATCATAATATATATAACTTATTCAAATTATGCTACACTTTCTTTATCAATTATCGAATTATTATTCAAGGCAAGTAAATTGGTATGTTTACCATTATTAAGTATAATGTAAACAACATGTCAACATGTAATTAAATAAAACTATTAACACCAATAGCGATGTATGCAATGGAATTACGATACGATAGTACAATATTTTAGTTTATTATAAGACTAGCATTGCCTGTAATTTCGTACATAGATAAATATATTGTTTCTAACAATAATAATATATTGTTTTTTTTTCACTTGGTAACATATGTGTTACATAATAACATGTTATATAAATTATATTTTTAACTTTACATATACTTATGTGCGTACTTTGATTTGCATAGAATCGTTTTTGTAGTTTTATTACTGACACGGAAACTTAAATATACCGTTAGTTTGGAAATGTAGTTACAATTTAGAAGAATTGATAATAACTCGTGTAATAGTCATTAAAAAGAGATTATAAGATACACATTCGATCATTTCTAAATTCTGAGCATGACAGATGTATTGGCAGTAATTAACACCGTGTGAAAGACATTACGCGACACCCGCCTATGAACAATCACATGTAATTATGAGGTAACGTTACAAATCGATTATCAACTAGAATCGAATACTACTCCAAGTAGTTCCGAGTGATCGAGTGCGATAATGAGGTCGAGAATTAGTGATTGAATGCGTGGTTTTGTAGAGTGATCTCCGCTCGGATTACTCACTCTGTCTCTAAATGGATGTGTAATTTGATTCTAGAATGGGTTTGTAACTTGCTGTCTGTGGTTTATAAAATACTAGACTTTACCCGCGACTTTGGCTACATTTTTTTTAAGATAAATGATAACCTATGGGGCTCATATTAGAATCTAACTTTAAGTCACATTTCATTACATGACGTTGTGCCGTTTAGTCGTGAAAAGGTAAGAAATACAGTCAGACAGACTTTTCGATATTATTGACTAGCAGTCTTCCCCAGATCGCACGGGTGAAGTTGTCAATGCTTAAAATACTTTTATTATTTTTTAATTTGTTAATTAGAAACAACAAATAAATCTTCCTTCACTATAACATCGCTTTCTACTCTTATGACTACTATCCTAGACGAGGTAGTAATAGGTAATAGGTAAGGTAGTAATTGTCAACTTTGAATGCAGTGATGAACTTTTAACATACCTACACTTCGCTGAGTATATTTGAATTAACACGGAGAGTATCCGCGACTTCGTCCGCATGGAATTTAACTTTATTTTTCTAAAGTTTAAGAATTTTTTAAAATTAAAAGTACCCTAAGTTACTCCTTATTACATCAGCTCCTGGCCAAGAAGAGTTCCGTCAAAATCGGTCAAGCCATTTCAGAAATTAGTCGGAACAAACAGTCAGACAGACAAAAAATGGTAAAAAATATTATTTTGGTGTATGTACCGTATTTATATTTATATGCATGTAGTAAACAAGGGTTATTTCAATATTACGAACGGACGCTCCAATTTTATTTATATGTATAGATGTATAGATTAACACACGAACTTCTAGGTGTCGGCCAGCCTCGAACTCGAGTTCGTAAGCCACTTGTAATGACGCTCTCCCGGATTATTTAATTTTCTATTTGTAGTAAACGGTAATGCGGATGCAATGAGATTCTTATTCCAATTTATGACTCAGGCAGCAAATCACTAGGTCATGACGTGTTAAACATAGCTCACAGTTTTGTTTATATGAAAACAAATTTACACTACACCAATTTACATGTAGAGTCATACGTCCGGTTTATAATAGAATAGTTTCTATATTTGAAATTTATTTAGTATTACTGATTTAGTAGTAGACGGCCTCGGTGGTCCAGCGGTTTAACACACCGCTTTACTTCCAATAGCCGCGGGTTCGTTTCCTCGCACGGCACAAACATGTGTATTCATGAGTATGATTGTATCAGTTATCTAGTACCCATAACACAAGCTTTAGCTAGCTTTACTTGGGTCTAGATGACGCCGTGTTAATTGTTCTGAGAACATTATTATTAATTACACCTGCGGTGGTATGTAAATAAATAATTCTTACGTTAATGGCCGCAATTTTCCTTGTAATTGTCTCTCTAATCAGTATATACGTATGTAGGACAATCGTTTTATTATATCTAGAACACAATAAAAAGTTACCTCTTAAATTAACCTCACAATTTTTTTGTTAATAGTTGTCGAGTACTAATGATATAAATGAAAACCTAAACCATTCACTAGGGATGAGTATAAAATCAGATCGCTAGCATGAGCTAGCGATCCTAAAAAACGGGAGATTTTTAGCAAAGAGCACTATTTCTCCAATACAGGTTCATACCTGTATTAGGGAAGGTTTTTTTCTTTCGTTCTTGTCTCTCGTCTTCAAATTGAATGTAAGACTCAATTTAAAGATTGATTAGATGTCAGTACGCAGTAAAAACCAAAATGTTTTTATTACTGAATACGTTTTAAACAGCTGCAATTGAATCACCATACCTTAGTTACCCTAAGGATATACGTGGATATTGTTAGGGTCACTAACAATGTACTTGTACAGCCCAATGGTATACAAAATGAACTTACCCAGGGGTGGATTGTTAACAGATTAAGTGTCCCGTGGTGCGTTAATTGCATACTCTCTCATCGTAAAAAATATCTCCCTCCGCATCGTCAGCATCAGGGATGCCAATCGTACGAGAATCTTCATACAGGTACGAGATCTTTGGCTTTTCATAGGACGACATTTTAGTATTCGTACAGGCGTGTACGAAATTTTAACGTACGGAAATTGGTCAAAATTCTATTGTGTACGAGTTGAGCAAAAATACGAGATTCTTTTACTTTTAACAAATTAAGCACCCGTGGTGCGTTAATTACAAGCTCTCTCATCGTAAAAATATCTCACTCCGCATAGTCAGCATCAGGGATGACAAACGTAAGAAAATTCTCGACAGGTACGAGATTTTAACCTACGACAATCGGTCATAGTATATGATGTACAAGGTCAGAGAATAGAACAGGATAGAAACCCTTTAACCAAATAAACTTACTTTTAATTTATTTATTTTGAATAGTCATACTTATTTTTTAATCTGTCATTCGGAAACCTCTCTTATCACAAGAAGAATGAGCATGAAACTTGCGTGTTGCTCTTTTAAATAATTATTGTAAGTTCACATTTTTAAGTTGAAATGTGTGAATATAAACTACCAAGTAGCATTAATTCATTATTAAATTATTATTAGTCAGAGAGCAAATTGAGCCAACATACTAGATTTTTTTACTTCTTACGAGGATAAAAACGATAATAGTAATCCAGGTCAATTCATATAGCGCTATCTAGTTCCAAGCTAAGCAGAACTTATTTTAAAGAAATCGACAACGGATATAAGATCTTGAATATAATTTTTGTAAATACATTATAAACACACAAAACTATACAGACAATAATACTTATAAATACATTTTATTTATAAACACATATTTGCACCGTGCGGGGAATCGAACCCGAGGACCACAGAGGTCGTCGAGGTTTAAGTTTGGCAACCCTGATCGTCAAGTAACATGCCTGGAATAGGCAGTTAATGATCCACACCCGGCTTTATTGTGTGTGAACTTTTGGTGTGATGGTTTAAATCATGATCACTTAGATATTTTATAGGTTTTTAATGGTTTACTTCTTACTAGACTTGTTTCATTATCTTTTATATGAGAGTGATTTTATTCTTTAATAAATGGTGAGAATTTTTTTTTTTTTATTAAATGTATAGAATATAGGTAATATACATATATACATTTATTAAAAAAAATTCTATATATATATATGAATATAACGGACGGGATATAGAATGAATACGATGGATTCAGTTGTCTAGACTAGAGGTTTAGCACATCACTTCACTTTCAGTAATCGCTGATGCTCATACGATACATATATATTCATGAGTATGGTTGTTTTTATTGGTATGGGAGTTTTCTATGAATTCATTTACAAAAAATATATTGAATTTCAGTTACTATATTCATAGTACAAGATCTATATAGTTTATGACAAAAGGGCGGTATGTGAATTGTTTTATTTTATTATTATTTTCATGGAAATACTTAAATACGGAAGAACAACAATTTAGCATTCAAATAGCGATTATACATACAAATCATGTTACATTTAATATTTCATACTACTTAGTACTGTACCTATATGTTATGTTCTATGATAATACGGTTAGTACCGCAAAATTCCACGAACACTCGTATACACAAGAGAATTCCACGTTAGGCACCATTTTGTGCTATTTAATTAGTGCCATTAAAGCCGGTATTAATATGTAGGTTACTTGTAACATAGAAATTTTATATACAGAGTAGTGTATGGTTATGTTAATGTAATGAAATAATGATTAATCTTATTTATAAACGTGGTTTGTGACTATCTATGGATACATGGATGTTTGGTACTCTTTTACGCAAAAACTACTGAACGGCTATTGATGAAACTTTTGACTAATTTAAACAGATGTTATTTGGGTGAAAGATAAATATCAAGTAAGTGTTATGCAGACGAAATTGTGTGGGTCAACTAGTTATTTAATAAATCTGTGCCTTTAGGTATCTTCCTAAGCATAGAGATTAAAATCAAGTTTCAAGCTATTTTGACTACAATGTTTCGTAGATCTAATAATAGCATAATAATAAAATAGTCGCTTCTATACGGTAAAAAAGCTTATTACCTACCTGATGGAAAATAGTAACTATCACCTATAGATACTACAGATTATCATATGGAGATCACAAAATATTGCTCGTACTATATATATATTTTTACGTTTTTTTGCTTCGTCCTGGTTAAACAATTCACTAAAATAATCAAATAATTAACATCCATTTCGAATAAAACAAAACACTGTCACGAAATGTCATTTAATTAATCAACTAGCATTCATTATAAACTAATTGCGAGTTAATGCCGGTACCAGACCTGCATTGATCTCATACGTTTGATCTTCTTCTGGAGTTGCAGCATCCCGTATAGTAATGCTTCGGCTGTTGGGGGACAGCCTGGTACATAGATATCCACCTGAGAAGACAGTTTCAAAAGAGTTATTTTGAAAATATGGAAATTCTAATTTGAAATGTATACCATGTATGATGTCGTTAGAATTGTGTTGAATTTATTCTCTTATTTAATTTACCAAAATATATACTTTTTTTTCTGTGCACTATGCCACTTTATGAGGGGTTGGTTCTCCTATTAGAATAGAATATCGTGAATATCGTAGTGTATATAAGTAGTGTAATCAAACATAGGAGAATATGTGTAACTAAATCCCCCTTCTTACCAAGTTGGTTTTGAGTTACGATATAACATACACAAGTACACAGAGAAACACTTCTAAATTATAACCCTTATTTTGGCTTAGAGGGATAAAAATAGTTTCCCTTTGTCTAGCAACCAAGTTTCCCATTGCATGATAAGTCAATTATGACCTGGTCGTTTAGGCTCTCAAATACAGCCACGTCATAAGGTGCTGACGTGAATTCCGACGTCATTCGCCATTGTTGCGTGTATATTGCGGTATGCAACCCTCATATAGTTTAGAATTGGATAAGTGCGAGTCGGTGACACGCATTGATAATTTTATTAATATTTTTAGCTTATGGTAGCTAACACCACTATGATCATACCATACCTAATGGCGATGTATTTATTACCATAAGAAGGTTAAAAAGTCAAACCCACGGTCTCACGGATTTCAGCTGCAAAGCAGGTTGTTTTGTAAGATGTATGAAGTGTATTAGCGTATTAGGTACAGAATTTTCAGAATAAGCGTACGCTCTCTTAGGATTTTCCTAAGATAAACCCTCAAGAATTTACTAAAAAATAAGTTCAAATACCAAAACCAGTTTAAAAATGTGAAATTTTAAGTTGAAAACGTACAACAAAATATTTAGATCTGAAATTGTAATTTCAGATCTGAAGTTTAACATTGAAGTTTTACTTGACAGCTGTAGCTGTCAAGTAAAACTTTACAAAAAATTTCTCTTTCGTATTACGAATTTGCATACATATATCCCGGCTGTCGTTTGCCAGAACGCAAATAAAATTCCTGCTAAACTTTTGATATATATATATATATATGAGTTGATTTGCAAATATATATAAACACATTTTACTCTATATATATATGTACTACCTGTATATTTCTCAACGATAAAATGTCCTCGAAAAAAAGGAAGATGTGACGTACACAAGTGTATACAGTCTTTGCCATTTGTCTGTAGAACCCCAAAAACAAGGCTCTACGCTACAAGTAGCTTATTATAGGATTTTACTGATGACGTCATTATTCACCTTTTCGTGTTATGTTAATAATGTATTAGAGCACGCTATTTTTATTATTTTTTTATTTCGTAAATGAATATGAAACTGACTGAGTTATAATTACATTCTACAATTGATACTTGACTTTGCCCTTAATTTTTATTTTAATTGTGCAAATGTATTCGTATTTAAGTAAATAACAGTTTTTTATAATGTACTTTTTTCAATTAATAAAAAGACATTTCTTATTGTAATTCTTTACTGTATTTATTTGATATACGTATTTATTAAATGCTATACTTAATGCTATTTGAAATGATATTTGTATCTTTAATAAAATTAAATGTATTTTTGGTTTTTTATCAATTATATTTATACAATACCAGTAAGCCTGCGTAATGGGATAAACGAAAGACATAAATTTATTACATAGTAGCGACTCGTCCCGGCTTCGCACAGATGTATTACAAATCTTTGAATTTCACGGCTTGTTGCACATTTATTATAATATAAACCTTCTTCTTGAATCACTCTATCTATTGCTGAAAACTGCATGTAAAGATTGGTCCCGTGCTAATTAGATTTACTTTTTTTTTATAAAGTTTTAACGCTAATGACAAATAAGCTATAGAGCTATCTTACCGGTATTATTCTATCACATCCTCGGACCGTAGAGTAAGTATAATGGTAGTAACCACCACCATTGGCGCAGCTGCCCATCGACACCACCCATTTAGGGTCCGGCATCAGATCGTACGTCTTCCTAAGGATGGGCGCCATCTTGTTTGTAACTGTCCCAGCGACTATAATGACGTCAGTTTGGCGAGGAGAACCACGGAAGACCATGCCGAAACGGTCCATGTCGTATCTGTAAAGAATAAACACAACCTGAAATTACGGGATAAGGGGCATGATATCTTAGTACTTTGGAATGAAACGCGTGAGTTGAATGTGTGACACATGATAACGTGATGTCCGTAATACTGCTCCTACATACTGGCGAAGGTTGCGCTTACCATTGAGTGGATTTCTTCTCCGACGCTGACGGCTTCTTTGCCATTTTAATTAGGTACATAAATAAAATATATAATTGAGAAGAGTTTATATGTGTTCCCGAATCATTATGAACATTAGTGTATATCTATAATCTATACTATATTCAATGTAACATTAACTGTCAAACCTGCTTTGATTTCCACGATACAGGCATATCCTAGTGTGGGGTCATAGTTACAATGTTACTTAAGTTTTATGAAATAAATGTTATTCTATTCTATTCTATTCATTTAGAATATAAACTGACAATAAATAATTATTGTTTTGATTATCTTCTCTAAATATATCTGTATTAGAAAGAGTAAGAAAGGAAACAAAAATCTAAAATTGCGTAGCTTAGTTCAGATTTATTCAGACGAAGCTATGAAACAGTAAGTACAAAACCTCGTGGACTATACAGAAATAAAGTTTAAATATATTTTTATTTCTGAATCAACTATGAATTTATGAGTTTACTTCGTCATTTTTACAATGTTGCCGTCATCCTTTTATTTATCCTCGTCCATCCATCATGGTCCAACATTTTAATACAAACAGGAGGGGAGTCTTATAACATTTATCTATTGCTAACAAGTATAAGGAGTATTCAGGCATAGACTGTTGCGGGGACTAGTCATCAATCATCCATGTTTAGTTAACTCAATGCTTTATAAGTCATCTTTAAGATATACCGAATAAGATAAGCAATTATGTATAATCACATTTATTGTCAGTAGTACCGTTAGCTTTAGATAGATTGTATCCTCATATACAAAGTCATTTACTCTACAATAATGAAAAACACATATAAAAAATCAACTTAATCCCAAAGACAAAGTTGCCTATCTTAGTCTTTGGGATTAAATTTTTCGCAACGGATTTTGAAGCGGTTTTTTTATAGATAGAGTGATTCAAGAGGAAGGTATATATGTATAATACATACCCGGGCGAAGCTGGGGCGAGTAGCTAGTAATATATAAAAAAAAACTTATGAGTACTAGGGAGAAGTCGCTGCCGATTACTAGCCTTGAATTAAGGTGCCACTAAATAAAGAATTTCGTGAACGCAAAAGTTACAAAGTTTCAATGACATTTTTATGTTCCATTATGTATACAAATCAGTCTACGCGGTAGTGCCGACACATTTTATAAGCTATACATTACTCAGCAACCTGTTATCTGCTGGAGCTCGACGTTTTAACCCCCTCGCTGTGGCATTTGGGGGGCAAATGTCGTTATATGACCTTTAAAGGTTTTGGTAATACTCGCGCTATCTTAAGTGATTTCCGAAGAGCAACGGGTGGAGCTGATATGATAACGTTGTTGTATAGTTATATATGACATCATTAATGTATCAGTCATCATCAAAACGATTTTACAGGGTTATGAGATCTTAGGTGAACACTAGATGTTATCCTTTGGAAATCCCTATCCTCACATACATAGTTAAGTCAGGTCATGGTTAATATACTAATGACTAGCTGACCAGCGCAACTTTGTCTACATCACACTTACTTGACATTTAACATTATATGTTTACCAATTTACATAATACCTTTTTAAATTACAGCCAAATTATAAATAAAAAATATTTATAAATGTCTTATATTCAAATTCTCTTTAAGAAATACCATTTTTATGTTTTTAGAATAGAATAGAATAGAAAATCATTTATTCAAATAAACTTAATTTAAGCATTTTTGAATAGTCATAACATTTTTTTTATCTACCGCTTTTTGAATGCGTTTCTCTGTTGAATCTTATAGAAAAAAGATCTAATCTACTTTGATCGCTTATAATTTAGAACAAATTGTACAATGAATGAGATAAAAAGACTGTAATATACACACTTGACCGTAGTTTACTTTTTTTCTCACCGATCAAACACGATGCACATTAAAACGCGTTGACGGCTAACATACGCTATCGCATCTCAGATGAGACATAAAACACCGTAATTACCCAGTTATTACCACGGGCTCAGTAGTGCATGAAGTTAGTGGCGCTTCGATTCATTGTGATTCAATATTGCTTAACGTTTTTATCAATAACCAATTGATAAAAACGTAAAACATGTAATGAATGTATTTTAGATAATAAATTGACAAAATACTGTTTTACGATTGTTTACTTAGAAGTTTTAGAATACAAGATTTGAAGAAAAATAGAAGAATGCAACTGTAGTCACAGTTGAATTTGCATCGCGAGGTTATAACGTCGGAATAAAATTACTAATCTATGACGATCAAATTTTTTTAAGAACTATTTATGAAATCTAATGTTTTTCGATAACTTGTTAATGTAATTTGGATTCTATTCTTCATATTTGGCCTCTCATCTGACTCGTTGTGCGTGTAGAGCCGAAACTACTAAAGTAGCCAGTAAAGCTTCTACCGACCGTAATTTGTTTGGTATTCATTAGTATTATAGTAAAAAGTAGTAGTTCCAGTAGTCACTCGTAGTACAAAAAAAAGTTTAAAGTTTTCATCATTTATTTAGTGTATAATATATATATAAATTCTAGTCTCAGTGTTAGTTGGCATCTCCGAAACGGCTTAACACTTCGATGAAATTTTATATGTATCGGTAGGTGTGACAATAGGGTGGCCCACCGCAATGTTTTTATGATGTGGTATGATAAAAAAACACACCAAAATTTTCACTCTTCTACCAACCCCTATTTTTTAATAGCGATGTTAATTTGTATGGCACAACAACGTTTTACAGGTCACCTAGTATTATATAAATGTGACCTCCATATTCCCGGAGTGGTTACCATGAGTACGAAAAGTAATGAGACTCCTTTGTAACTAGTAATAAATATAAATTATATAGCGAAATTGCTTTCACCGAAAACGTGAAATAAAGGTACAAGGAAAATGTAATGAAAGCTTAAATATGAAGTGTAGAAATTGCTGGCGTATGACTAAAGAAGAGAATTTTCGTTAACGACATTTATGTATTTCGTCGGACCCCGGAAATTGAAACAGTGAACTTAATAACAGGAAAATATTAATTTTACTTCTATGTCAGTTCTTGATTAAAATAGAAGTAATCTGTATGGATTTGTTACTTATATAATTATACTACGTAAGTGGTAAATATATACATTAGATTTTGCATGTCAGCAGTTTTTTGTAAGTGTCGGTAGTAGAGTTCCGCTAGCTACTTCAGAAGTAGCAATAAACTCACCGGTACCTCTTCATCAGTCTTTTAGTATTGTGTTCAGATAGTGTCTAATATATTGAATATCTAAAGTGTAAACACGGTCGTCTTCCATTAATCGTTTACAATGACTTGTTCGTGAGTGCGACTAATATGTTTAGAAAATATTACAACAAACGTAGATTTTTTCTATACCTTTAAAGTATGAGATTATCTTGAAATTAGACTAGATTGTAAATGACGTGGAAGAGTTCAACCATGCGAGGTGTTGAGAAGACGCTGTCACGAACTTAACGTATCGAATGCGTAAGTGACCCCGTGAAAAATAATACTGTGGTGGTGGCTTCGGACAGTAGAAGTCTGGCAGTATGTTTTGTCCAACCCCTGAGAGTGGATCTGAAGATGGATTTTTCCCTCTTTTAAAGAAGGTTCTAGACATATTACTTAAATTTTTCAACCCAGTCGAAGGCGATGTGGACCACACGAAATAATGTCGTAACAAATAAAAAAAAATGTTATAGAGACACGGATGTGTCCATAATTAATGAGCTAAGAAACTTTTATAGTGGTTATGACAGAATTGTGTAAGCTCCGATTTTGTCTTTGTGCATAATTTGACTGCATTTGCATATTTAACCGTAATAGGTAAGAGCAGGTTTCATGTAAAGCACGGCTTAATTAAGTTATTGCACAAACTAAGTGTACCAGTATGCAGAATTAAACAGGTAAAATAAATTATAATATTAAAAAATATAAATAGGAATCGAACATAGATACTTCCTAAGTCGGTTAGTAATATTTGATACAACAATTTATAAATATGTTAGAGTTTCAAATTTTTGTTTAACGTTTCGAGTGCCGCTGATCCAATCCTTAAATATTTATATTCATGAGTAGGTACTCATGTGTATGTATCAATATTAGTTGGTTAGACTTTCTAATAATTATAGTACAAGGTCTGCTTAGTATAGGATAAGATGGAGTTATTTAAATTATGTAATGTTATTTATTAACAATTAATTTCGAATAATTGTAACCTGGGAGCGGCATAATGCATCATTTCGAGAGCACAACAGGCCAGCCCGAAGGTAAGGGGCCAGAGCGAGTTCTTGCGACCCCAGTTCAGAAGGTCGTCCGCTTTAGCTACTACCCACTCGGCGGTCGACTGGAAAAAGAGGCGTTTTATTAGAAAACTTGTAGTTATTTATTCGAATGTTGTAATTATTTGTAAGTAAATTTCAGAAAAGAAATTAAATTGTGATTGGCAAACAGAAAAATTCAAACGCTTTAGTCAAACAATAAGAATTGATTAGGATTTATAACAATAACGATATATACATAAAAACATATATGGAAATTGACATATTCCACTTTTCTGTAAATAGTTTAAGTTACATAACATGTACCAAACATTGTGATCTAGCAGCAAAAGTCTTATCAATATATCTTTAATCCGGAGAGCTTACTAAGTATCAAGTTCGTTGTTACGGCAAGATAAAGTATCAAAGCTCACACTCGTTCGCCTTCGTTAATCTTTAGATATCAACTTGTCGGGGTGAGAAAAGTTTTCTTCAATATATTTATCTTCTAGTAAATGTTTTATAAAAAATAGATACCGCTTTGATGGAAAATCCTGGAAACTGACAAGAGCGTTGCTCTTAAATTATGAATGAATGAATGAATGAGATAGGTACATAAACCTTAACTTCTGTTCTTACACACAACTCTTGCTTGCAATTTGCTCTTGCATTTAATTTTATAATATGTCTATGCACGTTCTGGAGACTTCTTTATCAGGTAGCATACTGTCCCTCTAATGATGATAGGTCTGAGTAGTCTTTGTGTTTTACCAAATGTAAACCGTAACAATTCGTCTACTTAGTACCTCAGTTTCTTTATTCCAGTCGCCAAGTAGTTTGCTTTCGTGAACTGTGTTTCATTTTTAGGGTGTATATATAGCAGTGAAATTACAGGTTAAGAGGCCTGACTACTTAATCCCCTGAAATGGCTACGCATGAGTTGCCGGTCAGCTAGTAGATTCCATTATGCCTGAACTAAAGTTGAGATTGGTCTATTTAAAATGTAGGTACTTACTTGTAATGTAAGTACTTGTCTCTAAATTTACGAGATAGTATAGAATTTAGATAGTAAATTCGAAACTTATATACAAGTCTAACTCCCATTACGTTATTATGTCGGGATGTAGTAGGCGATTACATTATTAAGAAGATTTTTTTATCAACAATTTTCTAACGTAATTGAGTTGTTCAGCAGGTTTTTTTGAAAGGTAAAAAACACAGCCACGCAATGGTCAATTCGTAGTTGACTTACAACAATCACATTTCATTCAATATTGAATGGATTTAATTTTCTGTGGTAATATATATTATTATTGAAAATTAAAAAAAAAATATATTTATTCGATTAAATAAGTACACTGCTAAATTTTAGATGTGAAAAGCTGTATTTTACTTATCAAATATTCAATTTTAATTCGAGCATCATAAATTTATACAGATTTTATTCATATTAAATTTCAACAGTAAATGAAATTCAGAGTCTTGTCATCTTGAATGTAAAGAACATTTCAAGGTGCCATTGTAAGGTCAAAATAAATCCAATTGAATATAATATTTCTAGCTCATATTTTTCGCATTTTACTCGATATTTTCACTGGCTTTGTTCGTGTTTAAGTATTAATATAGAATATGGTCCACATGTATAATTTCATTCAAATGAGATCAGAAACTTGACTTGACTTAACATAGATGTGTTTTTTTTATATTAAACAGATGGGCTATTCTATAATAATATTATATTTGGGGTAGCCTTCTTTACTGGACATTCTATTTTGAAATTTATTTTAGCCTTTGAAAGCCAATTTATCGAGGAAGGCTATATAACATAACAGAGACGAATTTGGGCGGGTCAGCTATACTCCGTTCTAATATAATTTACAGAAAATATAAACAAAACATATTATATTTAAAAATATGAGTAAATATCATATCATAAAATGGTAAACGGATGTTAAAATAAAAAAGTTAGGTGGGTTAGCATGTTTACCATAAAATTATTCTAAGCTAGCTAGCTAAGAACATATTAATAATATGTAATAAAAGTAAGAAAATATATAATTATGACTGAACGAATTTATATAAATATATATTACCTGACCAGTAAAATGAAATGGTGAATACTTCCTCACTTCACCGTCTTTGAATATTCTGTTCCCGTGTATCGGTACCGGAGGTCTCTTGCGGGATTTGCTACTAGCATTCCTAATATTATCCTGATTTGTCTTCACAGGAACTATTGTAATCTTAGACAGACTTGTATTATTTCTGGATTGGTTCTGTATTTTAAAAGTTTGTTTTTGATTCCAATTAAAGCTGTAATAAGTCGTTCTTGCCTAAATAAAATTATTACAACAGCAAATAAATTTCATTTCATTTCATAAACTTTGGAAATAATAGAATCTTCAGTAATATGTTAATTAAATAAATAACCCTGCAGAATTACCATAGAACTATCTACTTCCACTGTACGAATTGCTAGCATAATAAGTATGTATTTACAAAAAAAACTAAGTATTTAGATCAGTTATCTAAAACCCATAACACAAGCTCTGCTTATCTTGGAACTAGATGACGTTGCTTACTTTTTTTAATACCCCTAGCCAATCCACTGGCTAGGGGTATTAAAAAAAATATTTGAAAAAGTCTCCAATAATAGCTTCTCTCATATCTTTCACATATAGACAACTAACAATTACATTATAGAGAGGTTCTTGAATGTTTTGATATAGAATTACAAATCATCGATGTAGCATTTCAAAAATAACCTCTATTTACGATGTGTGACGCGAAAGTGCGCGTTACCTGAATAGCAAATCTCTCGGCCTCAGAATCCGTAACATAATAAGAGCTGATAATAATTTTGGCTCCAAAATTCTATATTACAAGGCAGAGGGTACACGCCAACTGATCTCTGACGTGTATTGTCACCTGTGACTCAATGTATGCGTTCGGAATTCAAAACGAACCGTGATCCTGTTTATAAATATCGGTATCAACTGTAAATAGGTTTTATGTTTACCTGGTTACGTGGGCGACGTAACGTATTTTGGCGTGCTGTTATTTTTAACGAAGTATCTGTTAGCGTCTGAATTTGAATAGCGTACAAAATCTTGTCGCTAAAATTCTATATTACGGGTATATTTCAGATATATGTGAATGTAGTTTTATGTATAATATATATTGTAGTATTATTCTGGATTGGTTCTGTATATTAAAAGTTCGTTTTTGGTTCCAACTTTAGCTGTAATAAATCTTGCCCAATTAAAATTGTTACGACACATGTTTAAGCAAATTAATTTCTTTCAATTTCATTTATTTAGTAGATAATACATGATAACTAAAGCCTATTGTGCTTTTATAACATGTCTGTAGATACCACGTTATAGATATATTAATCTGTTTGCTTATATAGCCATAACACTGATACATATATTTCTTCGGATTATTATATTTGGATCACGAGCAATATTTATTTAGTAATACTATTGGTGAGACTGTTAATTGGCATAGGATAATTCAATTATAATTAGTAGCATGTAAAATTACACTTTTAGACTTACTAAAATAAATAAATAAATAATAGTCACCTGTAAATCAGTGCATGTTTTGGGTATTCAAAACGAGCGGTGGTCCTGTTTGTCCATCCATGTTTACGCATAAACTGCAAATAGATTTTATGTGTTAAGTTGTTGTTAGTTACGTGGGCGATGTAACGTATTTTTACGCACTGTTATTTTTATTGAAAGCCCACACCTACTAGCGACTGTCGATTTTTTTTTTGATAAAAGATTTATCGATGTTCTTATCGATAACTTCACAACTTTAATTAAGATACGGCCAGATGTTTATTCATAAAAAGGTAACAAACAGACAGATATACACTTTAATTTATTAATGTATTTGATCTTTAAAAAGAATACGAACAGAGTTTTTTGACAGTTTTTCTTAACTAGAAAGGACTCCGAACTGACGGTAGATTTGACATATCATAAGAGTCTGTAAGATATTTTAAATTTGAATTTGCTTTTGCTTTGACAAAAAATACAAATAATTTCTTATTAACATGGATATTCTAACTCTGATAATAAAAGAATAAAAATATATATATATAGTAAAAAAATATTGTGAAGAATAGAAAAGAAATAATTTTATAGAATTGCAGGGCTGCAATCACTGTAGAGATCTCTAATTTTAGTTTCTTTTATTATTTTGTGGAGCAATATTTTAAATTAAGAAAACAAAGCAATTTTTCATTAGTTAGTTATATTAATATTCAAAGATTTTATATAAATTTATAATGATGCCTTGTTAAATATTACTTTCATCTGCCATTTTTTACATTCAATTTGTGTAATAGATCATGTTATGCTTCTGTGATCTTTAATGAAGCGTTGCTATTGGTGACGGTAATTTATTACGTTATTATTTTAAAACTTGATATTTTTATATATGTAGATTTATGTTTTACATTTTACCTCAGTAGTATCCGTGAAGACAGGTGAAATTTATATAAACATAAAAAAAGATACAATGCTATTCAAACTGTAATTTTGAAACCAAGTTGATAATAGGTACAAGTTTCTAAGGTGATAGAAAATTCTATGTATATAGCTAAAATGGTTTAGCTATTTTTTATCCATTTCAAACAAAATCTCTAATTGAAGCGAAAGTTATCTCTAGAAAAACATAAAAGGCTGAGATTGACTCTCAAAACTCTTCTGCGTGGATACCTCAGTATTTCTCCCGTCAAGCAGCTTGTTTTGTAAGCTGTGTTTCGGTTATACTCGGTTGTCAGCAGCCTACAAAATAAACACAGCTTACTTACTCTGCTTAATCTACATTAAGCAGTGAAAATACAGGATAAAACAGGATAACAGCCATGAATGGTATCTTAGTCCTCTGGAATGGGAACGCATAAGTGGTATCACGGGTGTCATATGATAATGTGATGTCTGTAGTGCTGTTTATAGCAGCATTTTGTTTGCCATTCCAATTACATTAAAATATATATATATGGTATTAATTTTTCATTCGTTATTATTTGGAGATTAGATGAAAAGATGGACATCTCAAACAGGAAGTCGTTAGTCGGTTTCCCGCCAAAAAATTCTGACATAGTACCTTTTCTACCTTTCTTTCGCGTTATTCCGGACGCGTCGACGGCGTTCATTATTCAACAAGCTGCGCTCTTTCTCCCTGAGATGAAAAGTACTTTTATCATTAAAAAGTTTCCCTTTTTACGTTGTCTTTCATAGGGAATAGAATATTCTGGAACGGGTTGCTTTAAATTTCAATTTTATTGTTGCTTCATTTGTGCGCTACGATCTTACAATATTAAACTGGTTTGAAAATGAACGAAATGGTAGCGCCATCTTGTTTCAAATTCAGCAGAACTTGTGATATAGGTACTAATTAACTGGTCTGTTCGAGTCACGAACACTGATTAGATTCACTGCATTTGCATTAGCACATGCTAGTGGTCACTCTATTCTCCCAAATTTGAATTTAAAAATGAATCAGTATTATTGTATACATGTACAACATTTATTTGAAAACAAGCTGAGTTTCTTATCAGTTTTTCTCAAAATCATTCAACAGATTTGACATATCATAAGAATCAGTAATAGACTAACATGAATAAAGATATTTTGAATTTGAATTAACAAATATTCTATAAATACATAATGTACATAGAAAATACACAAGTAATCAATAGCAACATATTGTTAAAACAAAAATTTATGCTGTCGAGAATAAACTCATCATGATAATCTAGCCATCTAGTTATAACCTCTGCTTAGCTTGGAACTAGATGGCGTTGTGGGAATTGTAGGGATATTATTATTAAATTTATGTATTTTGACCCATAAATCTTCAACCATCTTTGTCTACTCTCATCTAATTTAGTATGTTTGTGTAATAGTGAATAATTTGTATCCATGGTCAATTTGTTCTGGTATCTGCTGAGTTCAAATGTTAGAAAAAAAATAATTGTAGAACAGTGAACTTACTTAATACAGTATATTTTTTATCTAAAGTACCATCCCCAGATAAATTTGTTTGATGGACCAAATCGTTTTGATCTTTACTACAAACCTAATGCACTCATTCACATAATTAATGTATTAATTTGTTGAGAAAATTAGGTCGGTCTAGAAAAACCAAGCTCAAGATCTAGGACAAGCTATACAAGCTAGAAAACACCGTAACAGGCAAGTCCAGACTTTCTCTAGTTCTCGAGTGCTCTTTAACTGTAGAGAAAATTACCGGTAATGGTTTCTAACTACGTAGTTAAATCGGCATTAAAATTCTCAAATTGTTAGACGCTAGAATCTCAAACATTTAGTTCGAAGAGTCTGAGAAATCGTAGTTTTATTTATGATACATAGGTACCAATTGGTGGTATAAATACAAGTAATAAAGTACTCTACAACGTAGTATATAAATTTATAAGGTGGGTATATAAATAGGTATATAAATTTATAATTATACATTAATTAATGATTAAATTTACCATCAAAGAAGTTCTATAATAATTACATTTAATTAATAATACTTGTTAATATTGCGTTCTAGTTCGTATCTCTGAGAATCTTAGTTATACACTTTGTATAATTAAACGTGTAATTTTACTATATATCTGTGTGTACCAGACTCCTGATGGAGTTAGGAAAGAAAATTGTGTGCTTTCTTTATGTAAATGTAGCTGTTACTCTCGACTTTTTCTGCACAAATTTGATACCCTATTTCACTCCCTTCCAGATTAGTTTTTGAGGTAAAAGATAGCCTATGTACACCCAACAATCAACGTATTTTCATTACTGAAATTTCTTTAAGATCTGCCGTTTATACATGAAAAGTAAAAAACAAGTCAAACAGATGCACTTTGGAATTTATAATATTAATATGGATGGATGGATGAGGAATAAAGAAATCTGTATTTACAACTAAAGATGTATGAGAGTTTGGTTAGACGAGGCGTAAAATTGACGCGATGCTTGTGTCCATTACGCGCGGACGAATAAATTCGTATTACTTTTATAAAGTCCTAAATCGTCTATAATGTAAACGTAAATTTCATTGAAATTTCAACAATGTTCTTTATCACGTAGATTTCATATTTGTTTTTTATAATTCTAGCGACCGCATCGGTATCGCACGCAGTTGCACTTGCAGTAATCCCCTCCGTTCGATCCTCCGTCCAATTCAAACGGGGATCGATATTACGACGGCCAGAGCCGAGGTTCGAACCCCTAGCGGTGTCCTCAGCCTAAAGTCGTATCCGTTATCCTCCATAAGTCCTTCCGCGGGTTTAGAGTGCCATCTGCACTCGCCTCCTATCGTCCAGTCAAGCTGTAAAAGCCCACTGCGGCCAACAACATTAGAGTAAACAGAAAAAAAAACTTGCCTTAATTATAGGGATCTCTTATTTATTTTCGAAAATAAAATACAGATACGTATTACTCGGTGATAGAGTAGTCATTTTATAAACGAAAGAATTATTAAAATCAGTTATCATTTTAAAAATAAAAATGTCAACTCTATTCTAATTCTACCTTATAATTACTAAATTATTCTACTAAATTTCATTATGAAAAGACGTGATCAAAGATAGTTAAAAGAGACCATAGTTACCGCTTTACATCAGGTGTACTATAATAAGTTCATGTAGGATTAAATAATTTTGAGTAGACTTTGGAGTATATAACGTTAAAATTTAAATAATTCATGAGCGTATTATTATTTATTATCAATTTAGAACAGAGTTATTTTCGTGTAATGAAAAGGTTGCTTAACAAAGGTTATGTATTATGTTATTTATTGTCATAGACCGATAAAGATTTACAGGAAATTGAAAAATCCAATTGAAACACGCTAAGAATATGCTTTCCTTTCGTGGTTCAAGGATATAATTTAATTTAGGTCCCTTGAAAGCTTTTAAGTAAAATAACGCAGTAAATATTATCTTGAATACATAATGACGGATAGGCAGAGGCTTTGTTGAATGTTGATAGGTCATTAATGTTGACGTAGTAGTGTATATAAGTCTTTTTGTTGTCTGTTAATACTAGCCGTTAGCCGCGAACTAGTTTCCTTTATTTTTTGGGATACAGTATATTTTATTCATATATGTGAGTAGTGGAAAGGTAACAAGATCATAGACAGATACACTTTCCCATTTATAATACTATATTAGTATGGATGGACTTCATTTCTTCAGTTCATAAATTCATTTTAGTGTAAAAAACAGAGAGACAAAATTAAATACAGTACATATATATAATTATTTTACTAATATTACACAGTGAATGAATAAATGTATACATTGTTTATGTTTGTTACTCTTTCACGCAAAAACTACTGAACGGATTTGATGAATCTTTACAATAATATAGCTTATACATACACACACCTGGGCTATATAAATTTCATGCGGCTGAAACCGTAGGCACAGCTAGTGTACTATATATTTGTTATATTATAAGAGATATACATATGTAAGACATTGCTTTAAGCGATAAAGCGGCCTTTTGTTTAACAGTGTGTTTTAAAGTTCTTTTTTGTAAATATTTTTCTCTCTAGTTATTTATAATACATTCATAGTATGTTATTTTGTTCTGTCTATAGTTAAACAAAGTCTTTATGCTTTCGTTTCCCCTTATTCATGTCACTACACGTTAATTTGTGCCTCATATCGGGACAACTAAATTATGCACCTAACGTTCTCCGTTAATAGAATCTGTCATAGACCGTATCCTTCACTTCCTATATGCCATGTCATTACACGGTAACTTTTATTTATCGTCTGTATCCGGGGCTTAATTATTTAATGCTATTACTAACAATTCTCATTTGTAAGAGTTTTTTTTACCCTGGACAATTTACACAGTGCCATTTAGTCCCACGGTAAACAAAGTTTGTGTTATGGATATTAGACCACTGATATCAATACTTGATACAACTTAGACAACTTATATAAATTTGCAATTATATACGGACCATTACTGAGTTGCTATTGCTAACCGTATAACTTAGCATTGAAAAAAGACGAGAATGAAAATCTTTGTATGAGGCCTTTGCCGATTAGCAAACAGATCAACAGAATATAAAATATTATTACAATAATTTCGTTTTTAAGTTTTTTTTTTAATTATTGTTTTTAAAGCAGTGTTGTTAGGTTAAGTAGATCTGAATAAATAAATATATTAACTAACATCGACTACTCTTGAATAGTTCATAGAATTGAAACTACAGTTTACCCGTGATCATGGCGCTTGAAACACTGCCGAAATATCGGAAACTCAGTAAAAATCAAATGTGATCCCGTGATTTACTAATTATTTTACATACAGGGACTTCCTTTATCCCCCTCTCTCTTTTCAGTAGTGAAGTATATTATGATGAACGCCCTTGACTAATATTATAAATATAAAAAAAAGCCACTAAGGAACAGGATACTGTCGATTTTATCCGTACCAAGAGTAACCTGACATTGAGGGTGACGCAGCTGGAGTCGACCCACAACGCGAGTTTTGAGTTGCGTTTGTGGCCAACATGCTGCCCACCTTCATGAAGGAGGACTACTCGCCGAAGTGTGTGGTGTACCGGCGCTCCCGTGGCAGTTTGCTGCCGTCAGTGCCGTGATCACACAGACAATTTCAATATCTTAATTTTATATTATTTCATATGTATGTTAGTCTATAAGGTATTTATAATATGGGCCTAGTAGCCTTAAAAAAATAAAATAGAAATAAATGCGTAAATGTGTTTGTTTGTGACGCTTTCACGCCTTAACGGATTAAGGAATCATTATGTTATTGAGAACATTCGTTACATTTGGGATAGAGACGTATGTATAGTATTTATTTATGCTCTACTTACTCATTTTATTAGTAGGTTTCTAGTTTCTATAATCATATGGTATTTTTGAAACTACGTGTAATGTTTGTATTCAGAAACCTCATCATAATTATAATTGAACTTCTGATTAAAATAGGTTTTAAAACATTACCGATAAAGTTATCTTTACAGTGTTAACAATATAGTTTCAAATTGTCCTGAAGTTTCTTGCTACTTGCTTGAAAGCGCTCGTATTGGGTTTATTTGGAAACTGTGTTTACTCCATACAATAAACTTGTGTTTGATGTAAGTTTGCATGTAATATTTATAACTTGAACTTAGGCTTATATAAATTTGATGAGGCCTTATTATTAATTACTCATATAACTTTCTTATTTGTTAACTGATTGGAATAAAACATACATTATATTTTGAGTGAAGGTACCACAGTATATTAGTGAAAATCGCATCCAAGTATGTTAAATCATTTTTGAGATTGGCGTGCGTAAATATACAGACAAACAGATAAATTCTTTTTGGGCTATATTATGAGAGGGAGAATAAGCGAGAAAATTGGGAGAATAACAGTTTTTCTCACTTATTCTTCATATACAGACAAATATCATTTACGATTTTGATATATGTATTGATTTGTGATTAAATTGCATTTTTTGTAGTCTATAAATAAATTTGTATTTATGTTCTTCTATTTATTCTATAGTAATGTTTTCACCACACATATTATAGGATTACGGTTTGTGCCCGGTTTGCAAATATATTGAGAACAGTAAAATATATTAAAACACAAAAATAGGTAACAATCTTTTAGTGTTCATATTTAGATTATTTTATATATTCAATTTTCTTAATGGTACGTATACATAGGACTGCTTCAAATTTAAAATAGTGTATAGTATCTTTCTTGTGTTGTAAAGAAATTTATTTCTTTTTTCGGCGATGATGAATTAATCAGGAGATGTTCTTTCAGATCTGTGATAGATAGACACGATTGAAAGAAATGTATTAGACATGTAATTTTCTAGGCCGGCCACTCGTGAAATATTGCTGAAGTATATAATACAACTGGTTTCTGTCTGCAATGGGTTTATTTGCGTGTACTGTAGAATAGATTTAAAAATCGCTATTAAAAGCATCTTATGCTAGGTACTTTGGCATAAAATTGTATCCAAATTTCTTTTGACAAGTTTTTATTGATTAACACACATCACATCTGAAGTTACAGTTTAACTAGGGATTTGCTTTGGGCTCGCATGTGTGCAATTACTGCAACAAAGTCTATTTGTTTTTTTTTTAATAATGTGTATGTTATTAACTGGCTCTGTGAATAGAATAGAATAGAATAGAAACCGTGTAGCTTTGTCCACATCATATATTTGTTGTAGCGTAATATAGTCGTATATCAATCATTCCTCAATAAATTTGCTATGCGGTAACAAAATAATTTGAACCAATAGATCTTGTGATTAACACGGTTATTCAAACAAACAGACAAACTCTTTAGCTTTAATAAAATGAAATAATACATATGTACATAAATACATATAATAAAAATAATGTACGAGTAGATTGTTCTGTAACCTTTCATAACTTCACAGAGATGGCTCAGTCCTTTCTACACGCATTTGAATTTAATTACTTATACATGAGCTCGGGTTTGCAAACAAGAACGTTATAGATACAAAGAATTGGCCCCACAGAAATGTGAGGATAACAGAAGAAGATAAATTTAATTTAAAACGTTATGCTACTCCTTTATCAATCTGATTTCTGAATGTTAACTATATATACATGTAGAAATGTGTGTATCCTCTCCCTTTTCACTTTATGTCGCCATAATTTGTAGACTTAACGATTTGCTTTTCTTTATTATCTTATAATATAATATTTTGTATAAGGTTTTTACGGAATGAGAAATAAAGCAAATTTGGTAAAAAATAGGAAACTTAACAACTTATGTACCTACGGACATTTGAGTTTGTGCACAGTAAGACAACATCTGCCAAATTTAAAACTCAATATTTTTTTATTCGTATTTTATTTGATTCTCTACCGTTCTTCCGTTTTCAATCATTGCGTTAAAACTTTATCTATAGAAAAACATTTGATACTAACACAATTACGTCTTTTGTAAGAACAATACCAGCATTATGTGTATATAATATGATATTACTTTTAATTTAATTTTTTTCTATATTTAAATTACGTACAAAAGATCTATTCTACGGAAATGGAAACGTAATATATTCTGAGATCCAAGCGCCCCAGGGTGTTCATATTAAATTGTGGACCTAATAAATTGGCGAATGGTGTGGAATTCGAAATTAACGTGAACGTTATTTCTCTTCCAGGTTATGCACGCTGCGAGTGACGCGGCTGCGTGTTTGTGGTGCGCTGGGCGAGGCGGGTGGCGGGGCGGCAGGCGGAGCGGGCGCGGGAGCGGTTATATTAGCCGCGCGGATGCATAGCAGTAAGCGGACACTGCGCTCCAACGACATCGCCGTACCGCCGCTGGATGTGGAACTCGACCTTTGCTTTTCTCTACAGTACCCGCATTTTGTTAAACGAGATGGAAACAGGTTGGTAATAATGAAATTATTTCAGAAGCAATATGTTATGAATGAAACGCTGGGATACGGTGAAGTTATCAGGATATAGGGTAGATTATTTCCGCGATTTGTTTTTAACCAGTATTAAATCAAATTTTTTATTTATTTATTATTTTATAGTTGCGATATCCAATACGATAATTGCTTTTCTAGGTATGGTTTGACACTATTTTTATCCATTTTGTTTTGTTTATTAATTATTTTGTTATAAAAAAATATTCTACAAAATGAATGAATATTTTGTCTTAGCCTATATCAGTTTTAGATACTATAAAGTAGTAATTCAATCTGCCATTTATATTTGAATCAGAACCAATAAATGGAACTATAAAATCTAAAGAAAACATGTGTTGAAATTAAGACATAATTCTACTTTTTTTATGTCATAAAACATAAACTTGTTTTATGTTTTATGACATAAAAATCTTATATATTTTATTCATCGTTGATTACCGTTCACTCTGGTTTACGAGTCTAACTCTGGAATGCTCTTTATTTTTACAATATAAGGCCGAGGTCGAGGGGCACTAAAAATAATCGAAGCATGTACACCGCTCATTTTATCGCTTTTCTATGTTTACTATGGAACGACTTATTTAATGGCCCTATGAAACAAGCCATAACCGCAAATGTTTCTGTACTCATTGTAATGTCGCGGGGAAATTCGCATCTGAGCGATGTTTTAGCGTTTCAGAATTGGCTTGGAAATAATTAAACCACAATATAATAAATTGTAATATTTTGCATGAGCAATAAATATATGTGGTTTTTGATATCTCCATTGTGACTTTATTTTTCTTTCTACATTCCCCGGTTCTGTTCTCACTTATTTTGTTTTCCTAGCTCTTTATTCTTTCTTTCTTATACATATCAAGTTAAAGCTGTTCCATTTCATGTTTATTTTTAATTTAATTCTGTTCAATTCCACATATATTTGTTTCCACGCCTCTCCAAAATGTGTAATGAGAGTTAAAATATATAGTAACAAAATATCTAGTATTTTTTCATATCTTATTACTGTGTATTGTTTTTCAGACTGCAAATAATGCTTCAGAGACGTAAGAAGTATAAGAACCGCACTATCCTAGGATACAAAACACTCGCCGAAGGAGTTATCCGGATGGACCAGGTAATTTAATTTTTTTCTCATCCGACTTCAAAATGGGAGTTTACTCAGACTTTTTTTTCATCCGCAACTTTGATAATTATTTTTTATTGAAAAGCTTTTTTCATGACCAAGATCTGACCAGTAGATTTTTAATTATCCTGAATTATAACACAAGAGATAATAATTTAATTGTCCAGCGATATATACATACATATAGTTTTGAGTTTGAAATATATTTTGTATGAACAAAAAAGACGACGTTAAGGATACGAAATTCCACATCTAATGAGTACTATGCTTTGTAGATGGGGGTGCAGGTTTAGCAGCAACCTATATAATGAAATTTATGTAGAGGAAATGTCGAAACAGAAATTATGTAATTATAATGCATTACGTTGAGATATCAGTTCATTCATCTGATTTCCAAATGGAACGCTTCATTCATGCAAAATAGTTGAATCGTCAATTAGTGATTCATTCAATTGAAGTGATCAGATGAGTGAGTAATCGTTGTAGCATGCCTGTTTCCTGTAAGCGGCATGTTAATTTTAAATTAAATGAACTATTAGATTGAATAGTGGGAAAAGAGTGTAAAAATATTTCCTTTCATGAATATATTACATACATCCTTCTTTGTTTAGCCTTTTTATGGTTTCTTACTATATGTTCAGATTGAATCTATAATTAATGCTACTATTATAATATTTTTAGATAAAATTTTCTAAGTACGTTATTAACAAAATGCAATCTTTTACAACCTAGGGGCAGCTAGAACGAGTCATTAGTTAACATACTAAGAAGCTCTGAGAATCTTTGTTGAGTGTATTCTCTAATATTCAATAAATTGATAACACAAATTTTCCATAACAGATACTCCAAAGATCCATGGATATGGAGTTGGAGCTGACGGGTGTGGGCGCGAAGGTCGGCGCCACAGCTGGACAGCCGGTCGCAAAGCTGGTCATCACCGGTCTAGCGTCCACTCCAGTCGACCATGACACCAAAAACAACAACACGTTGCTCATTACTGGTGAGTTTTATATTTTGTAGTAATATATTTTTATAGCCAATGGGACTAACGAGCTTGCGGCTCATCTGATGGTGAGTGATTATTGTCGCCCATGAGCACCCGCAAATTCAGGTGAATAGCCATCACATTGTCGGCCTTTTAAGAAGGAATAAGCGGAAGGTTTAAATATGATATCGGTTCTGAAATTGTTGCTTGCTGGTAAACCATTGCTGGAAAGTGACTCCACAATGTAGTTGTACGTGGCAAAAAGTTTGTTAAATAAGCTTGTCTATTATATTATACTGTTGCAAAAAATCTAATATTTTTTTATCTACTCCTAGTAAGTATTTATTTGAAACTATGCCAAGTATATAAAATTGTAATGCAGTGTTATGATATGACCTATACCCACTGCTGATAGAGTTTGAAAGCAACGTCAATTCCCTCGAAATTGAAATTAGTTTTAGCGAATTATTTTTTGAAATATTTGTATGATTAACCGGATTCAAAGGAATGTAAGAGAGAAACAAATTGATGTTCTACAATGATAACTGTGCGCTACGATTGTGTCTACATTATAATACTCGCTGACCTGTGAAATATTCCCCGATTGTGCAACATTTTTCATTACTGCTTCACTCAAATTGGTGGTAGCGTGATGTTATTTAGTGTATAGCCTACTTCAATAAATAGGGTAAAGAATTTTTCTATTTTAAACCAGTTGCTTCTAACATTAGCGTTTTTAAGCGAACAAAAGAAAATCGTCTCCACCACATTCACATTACTATATAAAATATCAATACTACCCATCGCATCGCGTCACATAGCTTAGTCTATCTTCTGACGTTTCGCATCTTGCGTTTTAAAGCCTGTAGCGTTATCCATAAGACATTTTAATTTAAGAATTTCATTCATTTATTATTTAAGAGCCACTCTTGTATCAATGGATCTCTTGCCACTTCCCGCAATTTTCCGTAATTATGGGCCTTGAAATATAAATTTAACTTCAAATCCGACTGATATTGTAGAAGCTTAGCGCATTCAAACAAACAACCCCTACGGCTGTATATCAGTATGGATTATAGAGGATTCCCATTCGAACTGTAAACATGTAGTTTTAATTTTTTTTTATTTTTAGAACGAGGCTATTCAGATGAAGAAGAGGAAGGCGAATTCAGTTCCGTCGAAGAAGCTGATGAAATGACGTACGGAGCGCAGGCGCGGCGGCGGGCGCACCGGCAGCTTGCGTTCAACAAAGAAGATCTCTCATATACTAAGGTAGGTAACAATTATTTATACAAAATTATTAAGGAATCTAGTTTTAAAAACTTACTGTATTTTTGCTTTTATATTTTCGTTTTTAATATACATTATTTATATTGTTAACCTGACATAATACGAATAATGTTACGGTAAATAAAGGTATTTACCTCTTTCGACGTTATCGAGAGGTAAATATTTTTATTTGCCATAAAATTATACTGTTAAAACCCAGTTAACAATTGAATAATGTATGCGTACTTTAAGATCTAGAAACTTGTAATAAAGTATACATAATTTCCTGCATTTTGTCATCTGTAGATTTTTTTTATTAGATTTATAATGTATAAAATGAAATAGCTATAAAGTTGAAAATGAAGTTGTAAATATCTGTTTACGATACAAAAAAATCTACTTTATATAGTTCCTAATATATTTTAACAGCGTGTCGATAACGAGCTAAACTCTATTTATGCAATATTATAGTTGCTATATTATAAGCTTATGCTTTTATATTATGCTTGTATTTAAAAGGACGATTATTAATATAACTGACTGTCTCACTAATTGCCGATAAACTTAAAAATATATACGTAGTAAATCAAAGTGGAGTTTCTCAACTTACGTTATTGTTTTACTTTATTCTACGTTCGCTATAGCAATTGAATTAAAAGGTATAAGTAGTTATGGATGACAGTATAAAAAAAATTAATACGTAGAAAAGATTCTTAATAATATAAATTTTGGTGATGATTAAATATTTAAAAAGGTTTATAATTATTTAAAAGAATGATTAGTATTTACGACTTATATATTTAATTAATACAATTATTTATTTCAATAAATTTCTTCTTGAATTTACAAAAATCGGCACTAGTTAAATAAACTGACGTTTCAGCATTTGAGTGTAACTTAATTATTAAGGTACTTCTTAATATTAGTAATGTAACATTTTATTATAATTTATTATTTTTTTATTATAATTACCTTTTTTTTATATTACTGCCATTTAAATTGTTTATAAATACCGAATATCGTTTAATTATTATTAATATTATATGTTGTGAGATAAAATTATATTTTAACTAATTTATTAATATTATAATTGAGCTGTAATTTCGGCTGCTTAATGCTTTAAAAGATTTAGATAATAGAACGTTTACTAGTTATTAGTTATTACTTAGTTGTGATATGAATACAGCGTGGCTATATAGAGAGACTCTTCAAAATAATGCTCAATACTTTCAGAAGTCATTTAGTAGAGCCTATCGATATAATTTTTTCATCGTTGTTTGCCTAATTATTTATAGTTAATACTGTATTTTAAGAATTATGAATAAAATTAATTAATCAAATGTATGTGAATTAAATTGAACCAAAAAGCCAGTGAAAGTATGTAGAGGTTGTCAAGAAATAATAGGTCATTGTTAAGTCATTTGTTTATACAAATGACTTAAGGTAATTATGTTATACTGTAATTTAAATACATTTAAAATTTTACATTTCTTCTATTGAAAAGGTTGCTCATATTCTCCTTATTGACTGCCTATATTATTGAGCACTATTCTGTTATTATATACGCGTAATTTGTTACATTCATGTATATATAAACAAGAAAAACCAGTATTTTTGTATAAATAATATTTTAAGTTCTTGAGCTTCAAGTAGCGTTATTTAAAGCCTAACCTAAAGCTTGCGGTAGCTTATTATAGTCGTTGCATTGCACGCAGCTGTCCCGCTCTCGCGACTTGAGCTTCATGGAGCGTGAGAGAAAGAGACAGAGCTATATGCATTCGAAGGCGAACGACAGGGACAGCGACAGTGAGCTGGAAAACGCGGCCGCTAAGCGCAAGGGCAGCCGCGGAAAGCTCGCGGTGAGCCTCCCAAAAGCGGAATGTAGCGTTATGAATAGAGATGTCTTGCTTTATGATTGCATGTTAGTAGTGTTGCCATCAGGAGTTGAACCCACTTACACATTAGTTATGGATGACGATTAAATGATGCCTAAGTTTGTGGTACAATGGGTGTTAGTGAAGTGGGGTTAGGAAGAATTAATATGAAGGTCATAACGTGAAGGCAGGTCATATAGACGATTCCGCTCAATTTGCTGGGTACCTTCCAAGGTAGAAGTCTTGGAGATCAACCTGGTGGTAGAGTGTATTGCTATACCGCTAGCAACGTACCATGTCAGGTTAACTGGCCTGACTTCATTCTTATCTTATTATCTTCCACTGGTGCTTCGCCAGCATATACCGTTAGCGCAGGCAAGTGCATCATTTCATTATTGCCCATAAAAAATATCGTATGTATTGCGGGCAATTTGTGTATATGTGGGATGAAACTCTGATGGTGACATCTATAATACTTAGATTAGTGTAGTAGAAGATTTAGTAGTTGTAGTGGAATGTTGCATTAGATGTATTGTTGATGTTTTTTTTTTTATTTTACGCATTCTAAGTTCTTTCTGGTATGTCATTGATGTATTTGCGAAAATGAAAAATATTTAATTCACTATTTTTAAACGTTCGTAATGTTTTCGAAGTGTTTCAAAATATATTTGATACAGGCAGTAAGTATCTATTTAGAATAAACCACCATGTTATACCTGTTACAACCTGTTCTGTATTATATTGTATTGTTTTATGTTTATTATCTATAATAACTATATTGTTTTATAAATAATATATTAGTAAAATATTTGTGACTGTGGCTTTTCTAGCTCTCGTCTCGTTACATTCGTGTCTTTTCTTGCTCTCGTGTCCCTACTTTGATCACTGATGGATGGATGGATTATACATAGTATTGTAAAGGAGGGAGCCTTTACAATACTATGTATAATCCACCTTGATAATTCGTAGTTCCTGGTCGGTGTTGTCCCATGCTGTTAAACTGATTATGACATAATTGTAGTAAATTCGTATATAATTAAATATTTTTCCGTTTGTGCAAATTATATAGGGTACATAATATTTATAGATCCTTCGCAGTTGGCAATTATTTGATTGTTTATTATTTTTAAGATTTTTTCCGATTAGTTTGCAATAATGGGGTTGACATGTCTGAAAACAAAAACCCCAAAACAAATCTAGATAAAAAAAAACATAATAATTATGATTTATATTGTGCAGAGATACATTATTTTGCCTTTCTATGCATTCGTTCACAGGTTACATGAAATATGATAATAGATAATTATCTCTTATTCTATATTTATACCATGATAGATAGTCCACATGCATGTATAAATACCGATTTTTCTATCAGACAATACACAATAAGTTTATCTGATCATGATAAAATAGTCTAGTCTCCCATTTGTTATTTACGTTTGTTTTTCTTTTAATGTTTTTGTTTCTATATATCATACTTTTTCAGTATGTGGATTTATTCGGAGATATCGAAGATTGTTGATAAATGATTGTTATTTTTGGGAAAATATGGATACAATTAAAAGATGAAACTGACATGAAAATAATTTCACGTCTGTAATATGAGTACATAATAGTAAACTGTAATAAAAATAAATGTCAAAAAAATATACTTTTATTATTTAAAAAGAAATAGTAAAGCCATGACTTCTATATTATAATAATAGGCATTGTAACACTTTAGAAATAAGCGCTACGAAATGTCAACCAACTTTTGCTCTCTTCGTCGTTTTAAGGAAACTTTATCATTGGTCACTCACTTGGGAAGAAATTTTAGATACACAGTACGTCACGAGTTATGTTACACAATTTCACTGATGTTGTGGTTTTATCATCTCTCAGATTATCTTATCTGTGTACACACTAGTATATTAAATCATACATTAAACATGGTAGCAATACAAGCAGTTCGGCGGCGGTACATGGTTGTCAAGAATTTGGAATGGAATTTTTTATAAAAATATGCGTTGTTCATTGCTCTTGGAAAAAATATTAGTGAATTTTTAGTGTAAATACATCTCCATTTGTGTGTAATATTTATTAAAATAAATCAAGAGTTGTGGCGGTATGGAGGTAACTTTTTCTTTGACAACTGGACTATCTTCTATCGTTATTGTATTTATGTATGCATGTAAGAATAGTGTAGATAGCATAAAACATACTTTTTATAGAGCGCATCCGCACTTTTATTTTTTAACTCCCCATTTTTATTATATAAGTATTATTTTCATCGTAAAAAAAGAAACTAAATTATCTGTGCGTGGTTATTCATTAAAAACTCCGCAAGTTGGACCCTCTTATTACCCATATGGATTTTGTTGATATTTTTAAACTGACATCAAATAGAACAGTTTCTTTTTTATGTATGTATAGGTAAGCAGGTAAAGATGATTATCCATATCCATCTTATTTTGCATACAGATCTGTGTAGTCATGCCCGTATAGGATAAGTAGAGTACAACATATATTGCCAGAATACAATTTTTTTAGCTTCAACTTATCATGTAAGTTAGTAAATATTACCTGTGACTTTACCTGAATTTTTGAGTATATTGATAGATCTTCGTGTTACAATCTACCTGCATGCCAAATTTCATTGCCGTTTAGTCGAGAAAAGGAAACAAACACAGTTTCTTATTTTTAAAATTAGTACAGGTAAATACAAGTATTTAAAGAAATATATTATATTATGTAAGCATATATTCACTACATTCTTAGCTAGCACAGGAGCTCTATCAGACAGTAGTTAAACCTAGTACTGTAGTGGTATATCTATACTGTATGTAATTCGTAAAATGTACTTATAGAATAATTTGGCGATATATAATATATACTTGTATATGTATATAATTATATATACATACATACATAATTCCATATTCAAATTGCCGAGTTCCAACATTTTTAATAGCATTATATATATATTTCCATTAGCGAACTTATTATAATTAAATGAATACGAATATAGATTTTATTATGAAGTACATAAAAGTGCATTTATGTTGCAGCAACGCAATCTGAAGCAAAAGTTCGCGGCGCTGCTGAGGCGGTTCCGAGTGCCGGAAGAGTTGTCAGAACGCGGCGCGGCACGGGACACGCACCATGCGCAGAGAGATATCGATGAATTGTTTCAGGTAACATACACACAATCCTTATGACTGCAATCCTAGATGGGGTAGTCAGATGTAACATATACTTTTGTTGGATAATACTGGAATGGTGTAATCGCCTACTTGAGGATAATATGATAAGGATGAAGTCAATTGAGTTATCTCATCCTGTCGAATTTACCAGGAATTTATCATGATGGTTTTTCAGGGTAAACCTCGTGGAAGGCCCATATAACAGGTTATATACATATATATAAATAATACCTTCTGAGGTATAAAATACCCTTGGCTCTGGGCAAAGGTATTTTTTAATAGATGATAATGGATTGAGGCACCCACCTGCGTTAGCCGTTAAAGCTGGCAGGCCACTAGTGGAGGATGATAGATGGATCTAAAGTCAGTTAGTCCATCCTGACAAATATATTTTTTTATTCTACCACTCACTCGGAACGCAGACTCATAACAAGAAGAAAGAGCAAGAAACTTGCTTGTTGTTCTTTTAAATATATATTGTTCTAAGAGAAAATGAAATTAAAATGCTACAACAGTCTGAATGTTGGTAATTAACGATTTCAGGAGCTGGATTCACTTTCATGCGGCGAAGGCGAGGACTCCGGTCCTGACCAAATGGATACAATCAGCATCGGCTCCACCCCCAAACCTTCACTCAGGCCGTTCTTCAGTAGTTCCAGGAGTCTGGCCAACCAGGAGCATCACAGGCATTCCAATGGTATTCAATCATATAAGCGATTTCTTCACGTTGTCTTGAAGATACTAATATATATGTAATCATCACTAAATCACGTGTATAAAATGTGTTCGAAAATTGGTGTGTAACTTCACATTACATTGTCATTGCAATATTGTTTTTAATTATTTGATTTAAAGTGCAAAATCATCTGTGAGTGGTGTGTACATATTACATATTATCATAATTCATTAACATATGACTATAGGGTAAGTCTCTCTGTATAAGAGGATATTAAACAACTGTTAGCAAGCTGTCCAAACGGCTTATACTAAACTAAACCATAGCTGAACGCCATAGGGTTTTATTTTGAGATTTCCTTATCTTGCACTGTGATGCGGTTTATTTTACTAAACTCTTTGACAATTCATAGATGAAAAATTACGGTGACATGTATTCTTACAAGGCAATGTTTTAAGAGTTGTGGGTTCGATTCCCTCACAATACAAGTATTTTTATTTGTGTGTATGGCCTTTTATATTGGTCTCCTTATTTTTATATATTATATTTACAAAAATGTATTTAAGTATTTCTGTTATTTGTTTATAACCAAGTTCTGCGTAGTTTGAGACTGTGTTGTTTTTTTGATATTATAATTACCACAACTACTGTATTTCATCTCAGGCATTGCTCATAATATTAGCAACGATTTACTCTTACTGCTCTATTCGTGAAATATATGATAAACCTATTTTGCTATTAGAATTGTTTTGTCTTATTCTTTGGAGCGATTTTTTTAAATTTGCAAGTGAGTGACAAAATACTTAGAACTAAAATGGGTTTATAAGTTTTTTTTTCACGAATAAATGGACAACTTGTACATTTTATTGTGTATTTATATAACAATCATATTTAATACTGAGTAACATTGTTTTTTTACAAGAAGGATCTCGCGTCCTTTTTTTATTTATGTTTTTGCTTGAGCATCAACGCATACTCTGAGGACAGTGCATTTTGTGGACGCTTCGATTTTGTTTTGCATTGTTGCATACATAAAGAAGTATACATAACTATATGTCCAACACATCATACATGACATGACGTGTAAGGTCTAACCGAAATAGTGGTCAATATTTTCAAAGGTCAAAAGTAGGTAAAAACAATTTATGAAAAAAAAATGTAAAATACTCCAACTTATGAATTTTATTGTCTAATATTTTAAATGAGAAAGTATGTCGAAGTGTTTGTTACCTTTTAACTATAAAAATTATGTATATATTAAACCTAATAACGAAGTCATGTAATCTGGGTACTTACAAATTTAATACGAACGTGAACATCCAATATAAGTGTCTGTCACAATATTTATTCGACACTAAATCGTTCTGTATACATATAATAAATTATAATAATACATATATAATAAATTTCTTAATAGAAAATACAATGTAAATATGAAATATAAAACTATATGACGTACTGTCAGCAACAATAAACTATTTTCCCAAAAAAAAAACCCAACGAAGTCACTTGAAAAAGCTGGGTTTTTATAGTTAAGATTGTATTTCGTGCCTAATGCCATCTCACTTGAGTTAAAATAAATTTGTCTGTAGTAACCTACTTGTGGCCTTTCAAAATTGTTGTGCTATTTTGGTTAGGTCGTATATATATTTTATTGTGATTTTTGTTTACGTAACGCTGTGTGCATAGTGTAGTGCAAGTGTACGTGTACGATGGTTATTCTGCGTCTATTTTCATATATATACACAAACAGATTATAAAATATACACATATAAATATGACTGTCAATTGTTTAGTACATAATAAATTCTGTTTTGTAAAAAATAAAAAACCAATTATGTGAAAACTACATTTTGCGTTACACGAAATTCATAAATGTTTTTAGCAATCGGGTAAAAAATTAAGTGAAAAATAGTTAAGTCTTAAATAAACCGAAAATCGATCGGAGATTTCAGATAAATTGCCTCCAGTCAGTCCAGACAGATTGCCCATTCCAGGATACTTGTCTCCGATCGATCGGTCCAATTCAAACGGGGATCGTAATTACCACGGCCTGAGTAGAGGTTCGAAGCCCTAGCGGTGCCCTCAGACTAAAGTCATATCCGTCAGGCGTGACCTTCAGTCGCTCTTTAAGTCATTCCGCGGGTTTGGAGTGCCATCTGCACTCGCCCCCTATCGTCCGGTGAAGCTGTAAAGGCCAGCTGCGGCCAACATCATTAGAGTAACCGGAAAATTTAATTGTCTCAAAAACAAAGACGAAAGTATATGTCCATCGCACACGCACACCAACATGAAGGTACCGCATGCGCAGTGGCCCGGCACTCAAGCCTCGCGTCCGCTGGCGAGCTGGCCGCTGTCCGCGAGCGACACATCGCCACCGTCCCGCTCACAGGTACCGCTTATTCAGTATACAAAAGAGAGATACCATGATCAGTTGCTGTAAACCTCAATATTATGTAACGCACATTTTTTTTTATTTTATCTTTTTACGATTCGGAACCTTAAAATTTCTTCTGTAACATCATGGTTGTCATTAAGACGGTCACATTTCAGCAATTAAGTTTTTTAGAGACGAACCTCTTAGCATTCCGTGGATTCACCGTGCGGGTCCATCATGTGGTAGAGAAGGAAACTCCAAGCTGTTCTCGGGACTTTTGACCCAGGTTTGATGATGTAGGGCCCTTTTGCCGATGTTACGTCAACACTCATTTTCACCACTCGTGTTACTTTCTCTCTCCCCTGCCCAGCAAAATCTGGTAGGAGCCTGTGCTGGTTTAGATAGACGTTTTCTAGTTTAGAACTTATAGCAGTTCTAGATGTGCTAAGATTTTTAAGAAGATTGATACTTATCGTATTTTACCTAATAGATAATTATTTATTACAGCAAAATAATAGCACAGTATTTAAACGTAATAAAGATAAACATTTTAATTTTTCTACATAAGATATTTTATTTACATTTTTTTTAAATATATATAGAAGTATTCATCCATATTTACACGATTGTGTTATGTATATTGAGGTTTATAATGATTGGTTTAATCTTATCTCCATGTTTGTATATCATAGCAAAGATATTACACTTGTATTTTCTTATTTTACTACTGACCGAGATTTATGCTATTTAAGTACTTTTGATTACAACTTTATATCAGTCACGTCTTTTATATTATCAATAAAAAATGATGATATTATGGTATCAAAATTATTAATCATGTACATGCAATTTTTTTATAATAACAATTACATTTTATTAGAAAATATTTCTTGTCAGTAGTAAAACTGTTTGATATCTAAAACTTAACTGAGCTTCTGTCTGTCCTGTCAAGTTCTGTTTACTGTTATTTCGATTAGCAATGAATGTTATTGAAGCTGAAATATATTTCTAAATATTAGTATTATGCAAGATTTTTTACTTATTTTTATGCTAGTGATAATTATTAATGTTTTATTCATATTTGAAACCTACATTTTTAGTACTGCTACTGTACTAGAAATGTTTAATAGCTTTTGTAGTAGATATTATCATATTGTAATTTCAATATGTACTTGTATGGATTCAGTAATGAAAAAATATTACATTTCAGCTTCAATATAAAGCATGAGAGCACGCACGAATCATTTTCACGCTATTCTAATTTTTTTTTTGTTTCGATTTCATCTCCTCGATATGTCTACTTTCAGAAAGAATTGTTTGGAAAATTGGGAAGTCAGAAAAATATTTTTAATGTTTAATCATTTATAATATTGTCACAAGTGTTTGAATTAAATACATAAAAATTTATGTGATTTAACATAAATTTAAGTATATTTAATGGTTATAAAAAATCTAACAAATATTTGAAATTTGAATAAATTTATTTGTAGTAAATTTAATTGTAATGTTAAATTTAAATGTGTGTTAAATTTATTTGTAATGGTAATTCAATGGAAAAAAAGAACTTGCCTATGTATAAAACATATACTGTGTATATCGCACGATATACAGCATGATTAGAATTAAAGGATATTATTTTTTAATAAATATATTCTCTGCTTCAACAAATCCATGCAATCCTTCCTCTCTAAAATGTTTTCCACTTCAAACCTTATCACTTGGGTATTAAAGTTGCTTTTCTGGTAATGGAAAATGCTTATGCAACGGTTGTTTGATCAGAATCAGAGGCGATCCGTAGTTCGGCGGGTGACGAGCGCGGCAGTGAAGGCAACAGTGATGGTGATGCGACAGCGGACGCGCCAGTGTCTGGTGCCTCGGTGTCCAGCTCACCACCGAATGACACTAAAGTCACCACGGTCAGTGTAATTTTTTTAACACAATTATGCGCACGTCTAAACTCTAAATTCGAATTATGGTTGTCTTAGCTGCCTTAACGGAATGCCTATTCATTTTTTTATCGGAGAAGTCTATGTTGGCCACAGCTGGTCTTTACAGCTTCACCAGATCATAGGAAGTGAGTGCAGATGGCACTCCAAACCCTCGTAAGGACTTATGGAACAATTGAAATGGCATGGCATCCCTCTATTATTCTAAATTTGAAATTAAAATGAATCTATATTTTTGTAAACATGTACAAACTCATTTCAAAAGAATAGAATAACTTAGCTGAAGTTTCTTGTCAGTTCAGGCTCGAAAGCTCTCCGAGCTGACGGTAGACTTGACATATCATAAGAATAGACCTACATGTATAGCGATATTTTGATTTGATTTATAATATTTTATAGGAGGATAAGAGGTCGCGGCTATTCCGCAGCGCGACAAGCGGCGGTAATCTAACGCCGGCGGGCGCGGCACGCAAGAAGAACTCACTCGTAACGAGCGGCGAGCGGCCGCTCTCTGCGCACGAACTGCCCGCGCAGAGTCCAACTACGTTAGAGGTACCAGCACAGAATTCATTATTTTTCAATTCGTGTATTTAAATCCTGAAATCAGAGAGACAAAACAGTAGTCGAAGAGTAAATGGTTTTATTAATTATATGGTTACGCGTTCAACTCTAAATACAATCAACTTAGTCTATACAATTCATGTATGTTTGTAAATTATTTAGGTACAAAATATTATACACATATTGTTTGGTTGCCTATTCACCTTTGTGGTATATAAGCGACTTCCATAATTTGTATATTATTTTTATTCTTTACCTTAATTATGCTGTTTGTTGTTAACAAATAAATAAAATTGTAGTGTCTTAATTACTAAATGCATATCAAAAATGCTATATAACAATAAAAATATATATATGGTACTTACATAAAATAAATAAACGGCTGGACCGATTGTGATGAGAGCTTGACTCGTAGATAGATAGCCTAAGTTACTCAGACTATATTTATTTTAGAATTCGCGGCATACAGCTAATATTTAATAAAAGAAAGTGTGCTCTATTCATTACAATGCAATTGGTCATTGCCGATGGAATGATTATTAGCGATAAATGTGTATGTACGCGACGTTGCAGCCGCGGCGTACAGCGCTGGAGCAGGCGTGGCGCGTGCTGGGCGAGGAGGGCCCGGCGCCCGAGTGCGTGGCCGTCGCGCCCGCCGGGCCCGCCGCCGCCGCCCTCGCCGCGCTCGGCGTGCCCGTGCTCGCCGTGCCCGCGCCGCACACGCCCGACGCGCGCCCGCTGCTGCAGGTGCTACTGCAGCGCATCAACAAGCAGTGAGTCCCCCGCCATGCCGCGCTCGGCGTGCCCGTGCTCGCCGTGCCCGCGCCGCACACGCCCGACGCGCGCCCGCTGCTAGGTGCTGCTGCAGCGCATCAACAAGCAGTGAGTCCCCCGCCATGCCGCGCTCGGCGTGCCCGTGCTCGCCGTGCCCGCGCCGCACACGCCCGACGCGCGCCCGCTGCTGCAGGTGCTGCTGCAGCGCATCAACAAGCAGTGAGTCCCCCGCCATGCCGCGCTCGGCGTGCCCGTGCTCGCCGTGCCCGCGCCGCACACGCCCGACGCGCGCCCGCTGCTGCAGGTGCTGCTGCAGCGCATCAACAAGCAGTGAGTCCCCCGCCATGCCGCGCTCGGCGTGCCCGTGCTCGCCGTGCCCGCGCCGCACACGCCCGACGCGCGCCCGCTGCTGCAGGTGCTGCTGCAGCGCATCAACAAGCAGTGAGTCCCCCGCCATGCCGCGCTCGGCGTGCCCGTGCTCGCCGTGCCCGCGCCGCACACGCCCGACGCGCGCCCGCTGCTGCTGGTGCTGCTGCAGCGCATCAACAAGCAGTGAGTCCCCCGCCATGCCGCGCTCGGCGTGCCCGTGCTCGCCGTGCCCGCGCCGCACACGCCCGACGCGCGCCCGCTGCTCCAGTGCTGCTGCAGCGCATCAACAAGCAGTGAGTCCCCCGCCATGCCGCGCTCGGCGTGCCCGTGCTCGCCGTGCCCGCGCCGCACACGCCCGACGCGCGCCCGCTGCTGCAGGTGCTGCTGCAGCGCATCAACAAGCAGTGAGTCCCCCGCCATGCCGCGCTCGGCGTGCCCGTGCTCGCCGTGCCCGCGCCGCACACGCCCGCCGCGCGCCCGCTGCTGCAGGTGCTGCTGCAGCGCATCAACAAGCAGTGAGTCCCCCGCCATGCCGCGCTCGGCGTGCGCGTGCTCGCCGTGCCCGCGCCGCACACGCCCGACGCGCGCCCGCTGCTGCAGGTGCTGCTGCAGCGCATCAACAAGCAGTGAGTCCCCCGCCATGCCGCGCTCGGCGTGCCCGTGCTCGCCGTGCCCGCGCCGCACACGCCCGACGCGCGCCCGCTGCTGCAGGTGCTGCTGCAGCGCATCAACAAGCAGTGAGTCCCCCGCCATGCCGCGCTCGGCGTGCCCGTGCTCGCCGTGCCCGCGCCGCACACGCCCGACGCGCGCCCGCTGCTGCAGGTGCTGCTGCAGCGCATCAACAAGCAGTGAGTCCCCCGCCATGCCGCGCTCGGCGTGCCCGTGCTCGCCGTGCCCGCGCCGCACACGCCCGACGCGCGCCCGCTGCTGCAGGTGCTGCTGCAGCGCATCAACAGGCAGTGAGTCCCCCGCCATGCCGCGCTCGGCGTGCCCGTGCTCGCCGTGCCCGCGCCGCACATGCTCGAAGCGCGCCCGCAAAAAAAAAACTTTTTAATTTTCAGAATGACCGTAAGCACGCAATATTATTTTTAGGACAACAGAATACATAACCTGTGTTCTTCACACTAATGAATCGTAAGTGCATTAGTTACAAGATTTCAAGATTTATTTTTAGTAGTAAATCGCGCAAGTTATTGCGAAATTATGTAAAGTTTAACATGTTATTCATATACAGGTAACTTGACAATTTTCGTTGTAATTCATACTTTTACCTTCGCTCAAATCGGCATATATAATAAAAGCAATGAAATCAACTTAACAGACGTAAAAAGTGATAGTTGAAGCTTGATAATATATGTACATGATATGTACAAGCTTCAACTAAAATTAACATAAGCATAGCATATAATATGATATTTACATGTGATCATGCACGTGCAGGGGTTCAAGGCGCGCGGTGCGCGTGGTGGTGGCGGGCGGCGCGTGCGCGGCTGCGGCGGCGTTGCGCGCGCACGCGGAGCTGGCCGCGCGCCGTCCGCACGACGCCGCACTACTGCGCTACTACCTCCTGCCGCTCGGTGCGTACACCTAAATACCATCCTGTATACCTATTCTGTAAGCATCACTTACGAATTCGAAAGCGGAATCCGCGGTGAGATTGTACATTGGTATTCTGTAAAACTCGATAGCGAATGCAGTGCCACGCGCGGAATGGAGATAAAACATGCACTCGTGTTTTTTTTTTAGAAATATAGACAAACTCGGTAACTCAGTAGGGACTTTATATTTGTAAATGGATATGGGTGCCATGAGTGAAGCGACGAGAGAAATGAGTTGATAAAACGCTTGCAGAATAACAATGCTGATCATCTATTATAGATGAATGGCGGTTGTCAACGCTTAGCATGTGTGCACGTATACACACACAGCGTAATTGAGATAAATACCTATACCTGAGAGGAATACCGCTACCGTGCGTTTTTCCAGAAACTTATTACCACGCACAACCACATTGTGGAATCACCTTCCAGTAATGATATCTCCGAACCGATACGATATTGATTTTAGAGCGGTCATTTAAGTTTTAAAATTTTATTTTATATGTCATTGATTTTATTTTCTATTTAAAATTTATCAATAACTCTTTAATTGTGTATTGTTTCTTATGTTTTATATAAAGCAAGTCTTTATATATTTTAATAATTCATTATTTGGAGGACATCCATTCATCTATACATCCATGTATGCGCACGAACGATTGAAGAACGTGGAATTGTGTGAGCTGGCGGCACACACAGGCGTTCTCGTTCTTATTCTCTACATTTAAATGTACATTTTTTAATGCGTGAGAACCTGTTCGCGCTTGAAGGAGCGTACATGCTTGAAAAATCGTACGTGTAAAAGCTGCTATTATAATATAATGTGCTTCCGCTAGCCCCGAACGCGGTGTCCCGGTACGTGTGCGCGCTGGACGGCGGGTACGCGTCGTTGTTCGGCGGCGACGCGTGGCTCGCACTGTGCGACCGCGCCGCCGACGCCGCGCTGCACGACCTCTCTGAACTCTCCTCCAGGATCGCCAGGTACATTACACGCCAGCACTGCCCGCTCACTACCCCCCCACTCATCCCACCACACTAGCTACTGTCTACTACCATTCATTACTGATCATTCACGACCACTCGTCACCTTGCAATTACTACTTGCCACACACTACCTACTACACACACTAAATCAGTTCGGTCGTGGAGGAACTAAATATTGTCTATTTGTTTGTTGTATTGCGCAAACTGTAACCGCAATAAGTTTTATAATGTACTTCATACTTTGTCAGGGTTACGGATCCTTATGAGCAGTCTTTCTTAGCCTGATGCAAAAAATCAAGCTTTGTTTTGTGTGTTGTACAATGTATGTTGTTCTTGTATGTTACTGTATGTTGTTATAATGTTTCTTTGTACACCTACAGGTACTTGAACAGTGTTGGACCGGTGAACAATGTGCCGATCGGGGAGGCAATGGTTGCCTACAGGGACAAGTCAGGCGACGAGGACTCTAGCCAGACGTTCGTGCCATTTATAGCTGTGAGTATCTAGTTTTATATAGATGGATGGAGTAATAACTTTCATTGTATTTTTCTCCGTTAACAAAGATTTTTTTTTTTATTGGGAAATTTCCTGGGAATGAGAATAGTCGTTATGCAGAAAGATCCACAATCACCTATTAAGGACACTTTAAACCTACACCTGACTCACAAGTTCCGGGAACTGCTTGGAGTTTCCCTCTATACCATACTATGGACCAGGCTTCCGTACGATGATTTCATAGAATGCTAAGAAGTTGGAGCTATTGGGTCTACTCGTATTATGATATATAAGAGTTACATCTGGTTTACGTGTCTACTGACATGTAAAGGAAATGTAATTTATTAAAAGATTTTTGTAATTGAATTTGCGACTAAAAAGTTAGATGGCCACCGTACGTACGTTAGGACTACGAAATTTGTATGTGTGAAGAGAAATAATGGAACATAACATCGTTTGCAGGAGGTGCGCGTGGGGTGCAGCGAGGGCGGCGTGTCGTCGCTGGAGCTGGAGGAGGGCGGCTCGCCCCCCGCGCGGCCCTCCCCGCCCGCCACGCCCGCGCCCGCCGACCTGCTGCCGCCGCCCGGCCTCGCGCGCGCCGAGCCGCTCGAGCTGCAGCTCGACTACTGGCCGGTGAGTACTGCCCGCCGCCCCGCTGCAGGAGGGCGGCTCGCCCCCCGCGCGGCCCTCCCCGCCCGCCACGCCCGCGCCCGCCGACCTGCTGCCGCCGCCCGGCCTCGCGCGCGCCGAGCCGCTCGAGCTGCAGCTCGACTACTGGCCGGTGAGTACTGCCCGCCGCCCCGCTGCAGGAGGGCGGCTCGCCCCCCGCGCGGCCCTCCCCGCCCGCCACGCCCGCGCCCGCCGACCTGCTGCCGCCGCCCGGCCTCGCGCGCGCCGAGCCGCTCGAGCTGCAGCTCGACTACTGGCCGGTGAGTACTGCCCGCCAGTTCCCTGAAGGCGGTTCTTCCTATGAATGACGTAGTGGACTAAATCGTAATTGAATCAGTCATGCTCGCTGTAATGTTCAAACTTGTGTTGGCATGGTGGGCGGAGTACTCGTAAACGGGTGGTGCTTATGGGTACTGATCTGTTCGGGTTACGAACACTGATTAGACTATTTGATTTTGACAAAAATACTATAGCACATGTTGGTGGTCACTGTATTCTCCCAAATTTTTATTTAAAAAGGCATCTGTATTATTGTAAACATGTACAACCATATTTGAAAATAATACGAGCTGAATTACTTGTTAGTTCTTCTCATCTCGAAATCATTTCAAACTGACGATAGATTTGATATATCATAAGCATCTGTGATAGACCTACATGAATAAAGATGATTTGATTTGAATTAAGTACGTCCCACATTATAACAATGTAAGTAGTAAGTACCCACAGTTACATTTGTGTGTATGTGTGTATTATGAACGTTCTGTATGCAGGTCCCCGGACGGGCGGCGGAGGCGGCGGACGGTGGTAAGGTGACGGTGAAGGCATCGTTCCGCGCGCTGCACGTCACAAGGCAAAACGCACACCTCTGCATCTCCTACCTCACTAAGGAGAAGAAACAGAAAAGTAAGTCAACACATATGTATAGTCTAAAAGGTTTGAGTGATCGTAAAAAGAGTTTCATATGTGTTTATAAACAGGAGAATGAGAGAGAGCGCGCATGAAAAATTACGCAGATAATATTACTATTAATAAGATCTGACACAGTATATACTAATGATATATTGGAAATTTTATCACGTATATCCCTAGATTTCATAATATATGTTGTTAAATTTGGATGAACATATAGGATACAGAAAGCTGAGAAAAATGTTAAGAAATTAAAAATATTTTCTCTTTAATCTCTCCTGAAAAAAAAACGAAAGGAGGTGATATAATTATTTTTCAGAATATTTGTCCACATGCCATCTACTATTTCATTACATGAATGTTTGAATTGTTGTCTCTTGATTATCAATAATATGTGGCGACTATATATTTATATACGTATACGCGTTACAATAACATGTATTCTTACTACTATTATAAACGCGAAAGCTTGTGAGTATGAATGTGTTGCAGGCAGCTTGTCTACCACACTTTTTATAAACTTTGTATTTTTAATATCTGTTTTTGTCACTTTTGAATGTTGTTACTTCTTCGCTGTGAGCCCTTTCGGGAAATATACACATTTATTTCTACAATTTTGATTTTAATAAAATACTCGTTATGTTCCCGCCTTAGTCACAGTTCAATATGTAATATGTATGTATTTAAAAAAAATCTATGTATAGTCGTATTTTTAATTAGACGAAGTAAACTGACGTTTACTGTGTTGTCAGTTTTTGATGAAATAAAAATAGTGTTGTGACAAAGTGAATGATTGAAAAAACTCTTTAATAAATGAAATTGCCTCCATTGTCTAGTGAATAGTTAGTGTGCCAAACTGCCGATATCGGGTACGGGATACGAATTTTAGTCGTACTCGTTTTTCGGGAGACTTAAATTGTTCATTTTCTTTGTATTCTTTTAATACAAACTGAGGTTACACCAATTCCCAAAATGTCAGCTGTTTTCGAATCACATTCTTTTTTTTCGGGAGTCTCAATAGGTAGTAGTGAAGCTGCTTTCTCCTCAAATACGTGTTTGTAGACGTTTTGTATCATAACTTTTTCTGTTACGTTTAAAGCTATCCGTGGTCTCTTCTTTCTTGGAGACAAGCTTTGGCTGAGGTTGAGGATCCATATCGTTTATACGAAACAATATAGCAACAAATAAACACAACGTAACGAAAAACTTAACAAAAATAATAACTAAACAGCGTGAGCGCAGAAACAACATTCGTGCTATCAGACCAGAGGTTGGAAGCCGAATACAAACAAAATGGCCGACACCGACCGACGCGCGCGGCATTGATCGGTGTTGGCATTTGTAGCCGCGCCGGCGCCGCGAGCCGAGTCTTGTAATAAGCCGTCAAAAAGCTGATTGTTGTTACATACTACTAATAACTTATATCAGTGCGCTTTTATACAATTTCATTGTAAAATAGAAATAATATTGTTTTATAGTTTGAAATGATTAACTATTCACATTCATTCATCTGATTGAACGAGAACTGAACGCATCACTATTACTTTAAATATGGCAACATTATTTTACAAAATGACATTAGCTACTGTCAGCTAGCTTCGTCTAATTAAAAATACGACTGTATATGTATCAGCTATCTAGTACCCATAATACAAGCTATAGCTAGCTTAACTTGGGTCTAGATGGCGCTGTGTGAATTGTCCTGAGATTATTATTATTATTCTTTCACGCATAAACGAACTTATTTTGATGAAAGTTGAGTAATAAATTTCATGCGGGTAAAACCGAGGGCACAGCCAGTATTTATCATATGTAAAACTTGTAACATATGTAATCACAATGTTCAGCAAATAAATGATTTATCAGTACATCTAATTAATAAAATGTTTATATAATTAATAGTAATGCGGCTGGGCAAGAAGAAGGAGAAAACAGGCGAAACAGAAGTGGGCCGCACGCAGACCGTCGAGGGAGTGTCGCGGCTGATCTGCTCCTCTAAGGGATCCCACAACGTGCCGCTCAAAGGTTAGCTGGCAACACTTGCTTTATTTTGATATTGTATATGTGTTCATATAGTGTGCAAGTATCTATATTTTAGTGTATTTTTCTACAGTATACATCGACGGCACAGAATGGAGCGGAGTCAAATTCTTCCAAGTGTCAACGCAATGGCAAACGCACGTGAAAACGTTCCCAGTAGCGACGACCGGCGTGCCACTAGCCCCGCCGGAAACCTAAACATCTAGCCGACTTAGTATTGTGGTATCATGCTTTGCTTGCGGCCGGTAGATATCGGCCCGTTGTGATTCGCCCGTCGGATTTCCGTAGCTTTGCTACACGAAACGAGGCTCTAACTGTACTGTATTAACGTCTAAACTTCTTTGGCGTACAATCGGGACACCTCGATTTATTTATTTGCGGATTGTACATTTCAATATTTATTACGCTATCGAGCTGCCATGATTTTGTTAGCGCATAGGACAGTACGGCGCTTTTGTTATGTATTTTGAATATATTTAGAATTAGGTTATATATTCGTAGCCGATATGTCGGCGGTAGGTGTTTTATAAAAGGCAGGTTTACATTACATCAGTTACTGACGTCAGTACTGGCGTTAAAACTATGACAATTTGAAGCAATGTCAGTATCGTTGCCACGATTTGTTGGAACTCCGAACGTATTGCAAAATATAGTAAAAGTTTTAGGCCAGCATTGTACAAATGCCAGTGGCTGAGTCAGCACTGACTTAATGTAAATCCGCCTAAATATTAGCAGGCTATATGTTGTGAAACTCATATTCAAGTTACATAATAAAGGCTCAATAATCACGTTAACTATCCATTATAGTCATTCATTGTAGTTAGTTGATATTTAATGTTATATATAACATGTAGGTATTCGTGTACTCAACATATATCGAGAATTAATGGTTCGTGACATTTCCAATATGTATGTAAGTTAGGTTATATGTCGGTGGAGAGGGAAACCGAATTTCGGAGCGTAATGTATGCACATATCACTCTAATACCGTGCCGAGCGGGGAGCGTGACTTTTTTTATTTAAATATCTGTGATTCGTGAATGCAGTTTTTTTAATAATAAGACAATGGATTGTCGCAGTCATTTTTTGTATTTTTTATAAGCAAGTTAATGAGAAATTTAGCTATTTGTGTATATTAATTTTGTACGGCCACGAGTGATGTTATGTGAACACTTTGGTACTTTGTCGCACTAAACGTTAGTTTAACTGGTAATATTGTGTTTAGAATTGTCAGTAATCTCACTGTGACATAGTGCTAAAGTGTTTGCATATTGTTACACGTTGCTGTATGTGTAGTTGTGAAACGGATAGATTTATTATATAGGCTTCGTGTTTAGTGTTTGTAATCCGTATCTTCCCATTTTTTCGACTTGAAAACCTTGTTTACACTGGCTTAGTAATTTAGTCGAGTGGCTACTAATCTGTAAAGAATACTCGACTTGCAGCTTGACTGTTACTAAAGCAATGTAAATCGTGTGTTGTCAATATTGTATCAATTTAACGCGCAAAGTATCTCGATTATTTTGTCTTCGTAAATAATTCCGAGCCAATTTTAGACAGTTTATTTCAGTTAGCTGATGGCCTAGACAAAGTGTTAAACAATTACTATTCTAAATACGTTTACGCTAAAGTACTATGTATGCTACGGTGAAAAAATCAAGAATAAATTAATGTTTTTCAGTTGTCAAGATAATTTGTAGTCAATATGCCGAGAAATAGAACAAGGAACTTTTTAAGATTGTGTACTATTGATAAATAACAACTCGTAACAATTACGTCTAGCAATGCCTGTAGTCGTATTTGAATTTATATGTGTATGTTAGTTATTAATATGTTAGATTCAAGTACGCCCGCTGTATTCGACTCTGCATCTAATACAAAAATGTCTCACTACTTTGTTACTTGCCACAACACTAGTATAGTGTAAACGAGCATTGTAAAAACAGGCGATTTTACTCTACCAAAGTTAAAGTGTAAATCCATTTAGTAATTGTTTTTCACTACGAACTATAACTAAAGCAATAAAAACTGGATCGAAAAGATATAGGTATATATATATATTTATCATATAGGTTTAAAAAGGTCGTATGTATAAGTGACAATTTGAAATATCGAATGTTTAATTGCTGTTCTAGTCTGGTTTCTACTGGTTTAGATATAGTTCATAGGTCTGTGCGGTTCGCCTCCTGTATATAGGCATTTGTTTTGTTTACATGGATTGTGACAATGGGGCGCGTGCGTCTTGCTGGGCAACGACTGTCTCTTTAATATCATAGGTTTTAACTTCAATATTCTCAATTTTTACATGTCTATCTGTAACGTAGATATAGCTGTGTGTTTACTTCCAAATATTATTGTATGAGTGTAGATGTATGAACGTAGATGATGCACGAATCTCGAAATTGTTGAAAACTAATACTTTTGGACTAAAAAAAATTATTTTTTTCTTAAAACGCCGATAACACACTTGCAATTCCCCTGGTGTTGAAAGATCAGGTGAGGCGCAAACTCGGTTGTCTCCTAAAAATACTGAATGAATAATTAACATGTATTTTAGATATTTTAAATTAAACCTTATTATATAGAATACTTAAGGTACAATATGAAATACACATAAGAGAAGGAGACATGCTGTTAACCTGTCCTCACATATACGGTTTAGTTGGATGGTTTTACAGTGTGACGCTGTTTCGATTGGATCATGTCCAAATTGTAATAGGGTCGTCGGTATAGTAGGGTCCGACTGAACGTAATAATGTGAGGCCAGATTTTAACACGTCACTTGTGCTCAAATGTTCTCTACACTATTGCCGATAAAGCAGTTGTTTGCTATGTCGTGTCGCGATGTTTTATCTCAAACTATACCTTAGATGTTTATGCTCCAAGTCTCAATTTTGAACAGCATTCCAAATAATTTTCATGAATTGTATACAAGTCAGTATATCGTGTCACTGTCTTTTGTCTCTAAATATATGTATGTATCTTACGAGTAAGTATGTTATGCAACAAGGTTAAATTAAAGATATCGACATAATTGTTTATTTTCAAAAATGAACCTCAATGCGTTATTAAGTTACCTTTTATTTTTTAGTCCAAGAGTATTTAAAGGAATTATTGCGGATAAGGTATGTATATTGTCGGGCTAAGCTGTGAATGCTTATGGTTTAAAACTACGTTTTCTGATTGGCTTGTAATAGCTTGGATTTAAAGGTATTGAATGCGAGGTATATTAAATTACGCGGTCAAATATTGGTGTTTGTATGGGAGGTGTATATATTATCGGGCTAAACAGTGTCATAAATACTTAGAATGTTCGAGATTCGTGTGCTGGCAATCTTTCCAAATATTCAATATACTATATAACAGTACTTCTGTGCCAAACTTTGCTTAGAAGTAGTATATTTATATTAATACTTTTTCTAAAATACGTTAATAAAATGTAAGTAAAAAAAAAAACAGTAAAAGCAATAATTACAAATTAAAATACGTACGAATGTGATTTTAAATAAATTATTCATAATATGTCTCTGTATTCAAATATTTTAATTAATAAATTAAATAAGTGATAATTAAATGATTATTCACATTATTGGATCGCGCGAAAATAGTTTTCCCTCTAAAATTCTAGTCAAGATTAAAAACCTTATGGATTTGGATTGTTTCTAAAAGAGTATAAGATAGATAAAAAAATTGTATTTCCGGAAAAATTGTGAAATGGCATCTTAGTATTAACAATCTTTATTTATACATTATCAGAATTAGATGAAATAAGATCATAAATTTGAATATTTGGAAGGAATTGCGCATGAGTGCAGCGGGTATATGCAACTGATATATGGACAATAGTTAGCGCATATGCATGTACGCTTCTACGAATTACTTGTTAGAGTAAGACGTTAGTCGTTAGGCCGCTCGACAATCTTCTATATTACTCTCTCACCCTTTGAGAACAACTGTCCGGTAGCCTCCAAATTAGTATTTTTTTTTAATATAATTCTTTATCATTAAATATGACTATACTATTAATAGCGTGTATTACTGAAGTCTCATAATGAATTATATTTTGAATATAGAAACAATTAAGCAATTTACAATTTTTATAAACAACACGCCAGCGTACAGCTCATGTTACTCACTTATAATATAACTTTCTATAGGCGAATGAATTTTAAAAATTCGCCAAGCATTTTCTATGTATTTTTATGTAGGTATTCATACGCTATATTCTGTTTTTCTTTAAACATATATAACTTAGAATTACACTGTTCAGAAAAATATGACTAAAATTATACAAAAAAAAAAAACATTAAACTAGTTTATTTTATTTTTACAAGGAGACTACATAATAAGATTCTTAGGACACTGGGCTCTAAAGGGTGTTTTTTAATGTTATGTTACTAGTTTTTCTTTACCACTGTAATATCGACTTATATATGTATATTTAAATGTTGGTATAAACTACTATAAACTCTAAAAACTTTAGGAATACTACACAGAGTCTATAAATAATTTATAATATAACAATGATACTTTTTTATTATGCCATAAGGTCTATATCTGCAAGTACATTCCAACTAACTACGTATTCATAAAAACCTGTAGTAAAGATAACTGTCGAAATTTTTTAACTATCTTTCAAGGTATACTTTTAATTAATATGAATGTGACAAAACAATAAAATAGTCAAAATGGATTATCAGTAGGATTTAGTTTTATCTAGATTGGAGTCTATTAAATATTGTAGGTATATACATCTAATAGAATCGTACCTATAGTACTGTCTCTACACACGAATTAATGAAACTATACTTCAAGGAATCCCTTGTGTATACAAGTACAATAACTGGCATACTTGGTTCTTGATACTAGTACATGTATTGATATGGTCGACTCAGGATTTATTATTTGGTCACAGTGACATTTACAAATATTTATTATTCAATTTATAATGCTTTATTATGACAAGATCCTTACAAATGTGGTTTCGTGAGGTGACTGTACTACTGTTTGTATATATTTGTGTAGTATTCCTAGAAGTTTTGAAGGCTCATTAAAAACTATTGAGGCCAAACATTCAATCCTATACATATTTGACAGTATCAAATAGTTAATAATATTGTGTGCATGAAATATATGAATATAAAAGAAACCCATTTACGAAATTAATAGGACGACCTATAAGTCAAAAATTATTTGTAAATAAAGTATAAAATTCCATGTTAAAAAAGAAAATTTTAGACATTTTGGGTCAAACCTATTTGTATCGATATATATACAGTTCTATATTCGATTATAAAAAAATATCAATTATATATTTGGTATTTTTTCTTATTTAACGGAACTCGTGAATATATGTACGTATTAATCACTAAATAGTTTCAACATATAATGTATAAACTACAGTACTAATATATGTAACTAACTAAAGCATATGCAAATCAACATATACTCGTATACAATGTATTCTCCGATATTTAAACTAGATTAGCCCTTTGACGATGTACGACTTATTTAAAAAAAAACAGCACCTCTACTCTTGACTCTAATTCCAATATCGGTATCAAATTATATTACATAGCAAAGTAAATATTATGATGGTTATTTCATTCGATGACCACGAAATGAATGATTCAATGAACGAATGATTTACCAGTGTACAATTCAAAAGTATGAAATCGTACGAAATAGTTTATTGCAATATTGATCAATTGGAATTTGTATCAAGAGTAGTCTGGCTGACAGGTTGCGCCGTTTTTATAATATACCTAATAAGTTACTTAAGAAGCTACGTCATTGTACCCGCGACCAGAACAGCTCAGGATCTTTTGATCTGTACCTACTAACGTCACAGTATCTACGGTGTCTTTCAATGCCCATGCCCATGGCGGGACAGACTTTCTCAGCATACATGAAGGAAGTGTGACAGGGACCTCCTTACTATGGTCTAAGGGCTATCTGGACGTATGTCTATATAATTTCTGATGATAGATGTTGATGGAATAGTTGATTGGATGAAGTAAGACTTCTAAACAATCCTATCATCTTCCACTGCTGGTCCATAATCGTATACCGTTTTTGCAAGCAGTTGCACCATTCCATCAACATCCACTCTATCGTCATGAATACATAAATGAATCACGATAGCTTCTATAAAAAACTCATGGAGGTCGACCTTAGGCATAGATAGACTCGGCGTGTACGACATTCACTTGTTTACTCTTGTATATCTTATTATGTATATTAAAAGTGCATGTATGTAAAACTGACGGCGCAACACTATATTAGTTAACGTTGTATCTTTAACCCTTATGACGACACTTGTATAATTATTTTTAAAATACTATAAATATCTAGTCTTATTCATTGTACGCAAATTATAACTCCTTTTGGTATTAAATGCTCATAGAATTCAAAAGATATTCCAACAATAATTCCTAATCAACATGTCCATTGCGGAAAATGTTACAAAATATCATAAAACACAAACCAATTCCTATTGTGTTATAAAAACATGTTGACTATGATTTCTAACGATCATATGGTTATTAAGAATATGACTTGATAGAATCTGTACCTAGCAATTAATAAAAAAGAAGCGATTGGTTATTTATTGTCTAGAGGCCTAGCCAAATTATGTGCATATTAAACATAATGTATGTATTGTCATATATTAAGAGTATTATGATTGTAATTATATTACAAATTATATTTTGTTTTTGTATAATGCGCGAGAAACATGCGTAGATAAAAAAATTCAAGAACTATTACAATATATTACGATTTTTGAAAGAGATCAATTTATTATTACATTAAATAAAATATTAAATATTTCTTAGGCACTTGCGTAAATTAATGATCCCTGATTTGCCGTATAGTCTCTTGCTACTGCTCTACAAAGACTCAGGTCTTGATATACGAGTTCCCTACCAGCCCCCTAAAATACTTATTATCTATATCTATTTTTATTTTATATATATATATATAGGTATAAGCAGTTTCAGTTTGCATTTCTTACAATAACGAAATTGTATGGAACTTGAATATTTTCATCTGTACGTTTCGCGCATCGTATGATTTGATCTCATAGATACGGACTTTACAATTGATTATGTCGAATGATAAGTATCGATTATCCGTATGTATTCTTTACTAATTAATTTTAAATTGCTAATAAATTTTAAATTTATTATAATTAATACATGTTAATCATCACAATATTATGCCCATGAACTAATGGCCAAACTTATGTTTTAATTTTAGTGTTATGGAATGTTTCATTAAGTTGAATAATTAGTACAAAAATAATAATAAATTTTATTTCTTACTGCATTAAAACAATGTATTCTTTTTAAAATAATAAAATGCAAAATCATAGACTGTGCAATAATTGGTTTCAATGTGTATCCAAAAAGTAAAGTTAAACAAATAAAAAGAATTCGAAGTTTAAATATTAATTTCAAATATTTTAAGTGATGAGATTTATTATTTTGTCATAATTTGCAAGTATAATTTGTATTTATTGTACAAATAAAAATTTTGCATTAAAATTACGGAGTATTATTGTTTTTGAGTCTTTTTGTATTACTTTTCTCACTTGTTGTTATTTTGTAATTCATTTACAAAAAATGCTTAACACCTCACATCTAAAGATATTTAGAATATTACACTGGTGGTACTATTACTATATGTCCAGTTTTATGATGAAACAATCTTACTTATTATTATAACCACGAAAATTACATGGATAGATGCATGTTTACTATGCTTTAATGCAAAAATTACTAAACGGATTTTAATGAAACTTTACAGTATTATAGATTATACATCAAAATAACACAAAGGCAACAATTTAAAAAGATGTTTAAATTGGGAGAAATATAAATATTTAATCTAATCAAGCAAGTGTGATGCAGATAAAGTTGCACATGTTTAAGTATTATAGTAGAAAATAATGAAAGGCAATTAATGAAAAAGTCACATTTATTATTAGTTTACCTTCGAATATAATTTACAATTAGCTAGATTTTTAAAAATAATTAACAGCATAAACAGTGAATTAAATCCACATACAAAAAAATAACAACTTTAGAGTAATATTAGAAACCTTCAAACATCAAAAATTGGTCCTGCAATCCATTCTCTCCTCCGACACCTCCTTCTGGGAGTATATACATCAGTCCATCTCCCTCTCTCTGAGGTGAGAATTCAAATAAATTCTTATTACTCATTTCTAGATCATATAACTTCCACGCAGCTAAGTACCTGGACTTCCCATGTTTACATAGTACATATACATTGTCAATGTCGTCAAAGTTTTCGCCGGGGTCATTAACAATGATTATTCCACACACTAGAGCCCAATGAGCCTTGTGACCCCGCTTCAGACATGGTGAGTGGTTGAAATCTGCATCATAACTGGTCATTATGTTAAAGATTATAAAATATGATCAATTATTTGCATTTTTTGTATAAGCATGGAATTTGTATTGGCCTGTAGATTCACATCCAGTAAAGACTCTTACCCATTGCTATTCCTGAAAACTAAGGCACTGTCTCGGACAAAACCCAGATATTTCACTGATGTATTACTAATCCATTAGTGTTAGTGTTAGTATTCTCTACAGCACCTATTATGTGTGAGTATTAAAGGACAGTAATCTATAAACATCAATATTGTCATTTTAAGATATCTAGATTTAGTAGTCATTGTTGTTAACCTTTTTATACAAGGTTAAGTAACTTTCTATGAAAAAATATTAATTAGAATAATTTAAATATATAGAATATCATTATTAAAATATATATACATATATATATAATCAGGTAAAAGGATACGGTACAAGCAAAGCAGCACCATTTAATAACCTTTCAATTGTCATTTTACTAAATAACCCACCACATTGCAGGCTAAATCTAACATTTATTTCAGCTAAATTGAATACTTTTTTAGTTAGTTCAATCATATTTTTACAGCTAAACATCTCTCCGTTATTCGTGTAGCCCTCCATCTTTGCAATATTTAGCATTTCTTCAGGAGTTACTTCATTATTTATAATCATTGAGAGAGCTACCAGGCCACAAGTAGGCCCTACCTGTAGTATAGACGGGAATTCGGTATATTTGTAATAGAAAGGTGCTTGGTAATGACAAACGTCGTGTTTTGCACAAGCCTCCCATAGTTCTGGCCTATTAGTAGCCCATTCACAGACGTCTAGATATTTCAATTTTGAAGTTGAAGTGTCAGGCTTGGGATTACTTGGTGATTTTGATGGAGATTGCACTTCTGGGCAAAAAGGTGCTGGTGGTGGCGGTGGTGGTGCAGGAGGAATAGTACACATTCTTATTCATAAACGATATCAGTTTGAATATTAAATTAATGAATTAATTGCTGGAAATTTGGTTACTAATTCATATCTTTTAGAAGTTAAATATTTGTCATTTTACCCATAGATGAGAAAATTCTTATTTATCTTCCACTGTTTACTTAATATTACATGCTTTATTAAGATATGAAATATTATTCAGAAAAAATAAATATTATTAATAGACATAGCACTGACCACTTCACTTGACGTTTGACAAGTTCCGTCTTTAACGTCACACGGTCACATCATATAATGAGTGAATGATATTTTCAACTGATGTTTAAAATTTTAGTCCAGTTTTCACTATGAGTGTATGTATTCCCCATAATTTTTAATACTTTACCCATTATAGATATGTGTAAAAATAGACGAAAAAGGTCTAACGTCAAATATGTTAATTTTATTATTAAATTCCACCGGCTTCATAATTTGTTATTAGTTCCATTCTGACATTCGTATCCTGCCTTTATCAATCAACGAGGGCGTGGTCATGCGCGTATTACTTTACAATTCATTCGTTACTATTTCATTCAAAAATTTTAAATGTCATTAAGCTCATTCATTCATTACCAGATGGTTATCTTGCTTGTCAGATATAGGTAATTGAACTTTAATTATAAAAGGGAAAGAAAGTACTTTCTTATTATTGTGGAACCGGTTAAACAAGTAATTTACCATGTCGGAGCCCCGGAAAAATCATCTCTCCATAGATGGAGGGCAAGTGAAAGAAGACGACAACGTCGCTACTTACAAGCCCATACCAGAATCCGATACAGGTATTTAATTACATTTAATAACTCATTTATATTTATAAATTACATTTATTTACTGTTTTATAACTCGTACAGTAGTTTTAATGTTAAACTTTATTACTACTTTGTTTTAATATCTATATTTTTTATTCGAATCTCGAGGTAACAAATGTTTCTCATAAATGTCTGTATAAGTTAACGTATCCAGTTCTTAATATTAGTAGTATTTATCATTCTTTGTAATAACAATGATAATACCTTATTTTAGCAGATTCTAATGAATATGTATTTTACGGAAAAGGTCGCTGATGTGTCAAAAGCAATAGTATAACGTAACCAAGTTCAATATACCTTTTAAGTGACCTTAACCTATCCATAATTCCTTTAATCCTGTAACAATAAATTTTAAGCAATAACTTAATTTTCATCAATCTAAATATATATAGGGTATTTTAAAACTTACTTATTTATTGCGATACATTGTTTGCGGCAAAATTACGTATATAAATATGTGAAATGAAAGTGATGATAAACTACAGCTGTTACCTTTTGAATTTGGTCGGATTATAAAGCGCTTTTCTGTCTCGAACTCAGCGCCATTTTGTCGACGCTCCGCTGAATGATGCAAGAAAGCATTGTTTTTACTTTTTTTGAATTAATGCTAATCTCCGTACCGGCATATAGAGGAAGATAAAATCAAAGCAGTGGAAAATTTACCTAGATTGAAGGATAAAAGAAAAAAAAGCCAGCAATATGAGTGGTAAACAATATTTTGTACTATTTAAAAAAAAAATCGTATGCTTACAATTAAATAATCTCATTTAATTTAAGTCTTATTACAGTCAGTTATACAAGAACTATTTTAAATTTTGTTTTGCGACTTTTACATAAATAGCAGCTGGCTACCATCATGCCACTGACATTACTTTAGAGCTAGTTATTCAATTGAAGTTAATTTATTGGGCTCTTATTTATTAGTAACTCTATTCAGAAGTATCAGTGAATAAAGGACTCGAGGATTTATAAAGAAAATCAATTTGTTTAAAATATAATATAAGTAATAAAAAAAAAATTTATAAATATATATACATTGCAGATTTAATTTTCAGCACATGAGATTGAATATATTGAGGCAGACGAGGAATATGTACAGCAGAACCAGTCAGATTTGGTGGAAACTGAGGTACAGGATGAGGTTGAAGACCACTGGGAGCATAACAGCATTAAACTGATGCTAAACTTGTATTTACAGAATATTGATAAGTTTAGGAATCCAAAAATTAAAAAGAAAAATGTTTGGGTTGAAATATCAAATGCAGTTGCTAAAGGTCCCGACAGTTGTGACAAGAAATTCAGAAATTTAAAACAGACCTACATAAGATTACTGAAGAAGAAAAATAAGAATGAATTACTGAAAGTGAGGTGGCCATACTTCACTATATTTGAAGAAATATATAATGTAGATGGTGAATATCAACCAGATATACAACAAAAAATTCAAGAGAATACCACAGACAATGTAGCCAAAGTATTACTATCCATAAACACACCTACTTTCCAAGATGTTCATGAAAATGGGGAGGGTTCTAGTAGTCAAAATGAAGAGGTTAGACGGAAACAAAATAAAAGAAGATTCACAGAGTTCAGGAAAGTTACATTAGAAATGAGAGAGAGACAGAGAGTTGTGGAAGAAAAATTAGATAAACTAATAAGTATAGTAGAAGAGTCAAATGGCATACAACGCGAGCGGAATAGACTATTTGAATTATTTTTAGAAAAATTAAATAATACATGATGTTACTTAAAAATTGTTATTTTGTTGTATATTTAATGTAATTAATAACTAATGTATAATAAGATATATTTTTGTATGATAAATAAAATGACTTTGTTTTCTAAATGACTTAAATTGCATTTAATTTGAAAAAAACATTTTCTAATTATGAATGTAAAATGATGTCAGTGTAATTTGCTTTGCATTCTATTTATTTATGATTACAATTAAAAGTATTAGTATGATACAAAATCCATTCAGATAGATGATGTTTTCAAGGGTGGGCAACATACTCATATTAATTAGACCATATTAACTAATTATTAACCCCATTACTTTTTTTAATAAACTTTCTGTTTATTTATGTTATTTGAATTACTAACACTATGAGTAAAATAAAGCGTCAGTTTAGAATATTATTTTAAACCAAGAAGATGGTAAAAAACATCTCTTGCTCGTTTCTCTAGTGTAGTCAGTTATCTAATACTCTATAATACCAGTAGTACAAGTAGTACTTTATAAGGATTTCAATTAACTGTGCAATTTTTATATTTATTATGTGTTAATAATAATAACCCTAGACTTTACCGCCATCTAGTCACTAGGTAATCAGAATTTGTGTTGTAGGTACTAGACAACTGATACTTAGATATATATATTTTTCTAAATACATATACAAAGAAAATACCCATACCAAAACAAACATACTCATTAATAAAAATGTTCGCACCGTGCGAGCAATGGAAACAGCGACCATCGTAAGTAAAGCGGCGTGCTAAACCGTGGTCTAGCGGCGTTAAGTAAATACAATAAACAATCAATATTACGGCCATCTAGTTGAAGCACGACGCATACAGTAATAGCTACTTGGATGTGACCCTTTCATTAGCAGCTTTAATTGATTTCATTGTACAAAAACGTTTTATCGCAGTGAAACAATACGAGATATGTTATTTATTCCGCTGTGACATCCAATCAAGAAAGACATCCTTTTACATCACGCAAAAGTAACGTATTAATATTTTTTTATAAGAACAATTTAGTATTTCGTAAACTATTACTAACTATAGCATCTTATTGTTCAACATTTTTCTAAGTGAATGGTGTTAATAATAGTCCTAGAATATTTATATGATTTTTATGTAAGTAAAGTTATTTATACAGAATTTTAGTTACGTAATGTAGGCTCGTAAATGCTTAGTAAAATTTGGACTGCGTGTCCTTTGGACTTTCGGTTCGATCATTTTGATGCCATTTTTGTTGTTTCGGCTACGACACATAATGATCTATATTCAAATTATGGGTTTTATTTAATGGGTAATAATGGAATTGGTGTACCCTCCTGTGGTAATGGTTACGCTAGCGGATCGAGATCGGTTAGCGGGCATCACTGGAGGATGATAGCATGAACATGTGGTCAGGTCAGTTAGCCATAGTCATAAATCATGATGACTTCCAAAGGAACCGTGGTGGTCAATCTGACTTAGACATTGCTAGCAATGGGGTCATCAGTTCAGCTTACAATCTCCCCTCCTCTCTCTGGCTTGGGATTACTAGGAGTAGAAATATATTTTATGAAATAAAAAAAATGTCCTTATAAGACTAGGCTAGTTTAGAGTAGGGTTAGATAAATGCCATTATCATTTAACCTAAGTAAATGCTCAATAGTTTCTGTCAATAAATATAATTAGTTTCCACATTAGACGCAAATATTTGAAAAACTTTAATAAAAACCTCTGACACAAAGAGGTCTTAAATTTTGCAGACATAGTACATATCTGTAATATTTAGGGCCTTTCCTCAAATAATTTATATTTAGAGTGGTTTCTGTACTTCTAAAGATTAATTTGATTTAAAAAAATGTTCCAGATGAGTATATTGGCAGCACTTTTGAGTTGAAAAGATTATTTTTTATATTCTTCGTGTGGACAACAGTCTTATATGAATAATGACTTTGACTTATCTATATTATATGTAAAAATATATGAACTTTCCCGTTGTATAAGCAATTTACTTATTAATAAAGTGATATAGTTATTAGTTTTAGGGTACAATGGGACTGGCATATACTTATTACGTATGAAAGTCTCTAATATTAAAGAAATAAAAATAAGAACTTCAATATAAATTATTTGAAAACATGTTAAGATGCATGCCTGCATATTTGTCATATATTATGACATATATATATATATATATATATATATATATATATATATATATATATGTATAGTCAGCAGATAGATTCTTTTGAAACCCACTTTCGTAGAATTGCCACAGTATATCTAAACTATCAGTAGTCCGACTTCTTTGTTATTAATTCTGCTACAATGTAGGAACCGATACAAATACTCGGGAGACAGTAGAATAAATGACAAACATCGTCATTTCAGCATATCAGTTTTCAAACAAATTACTTGTTTATTTTTTTTTCACAATTTGGTACAAAAAAACGTATGAGTAAGGTAGTGTATGTGCATCGGCTATACACAAAAAAGGCAGCACCTCAGTGTATTGTTTGCTACAGGCAGCAAACCACTGATTTTCAGGTATTGCCTAGGAATATACGCGAGGACGTATGTAACAAGACCACCGCATCTAACCAGCCCTATTACGGTATCATTAATAGTAATAATAATAAAAGTTATTTCGGTCGTCCTCTCCCTTTACGCACATTAACTTTCATTACTTTTCATATTTATATAAATACCTTTACAAAAAGACAAATAAACTATTGTAAAACAACATATTTTTTTAAACTATTTTTATTGTTATATGAATTTTTAATCTATTATCATAAGAAAATATTTGTAAAATTTTATCATATATTCGACACAGCCGTGTACTCGTATAGTGGTTTTTACGTAAAAACAAATACTGTCTAAACAGACAGTATTTGTTAATCTCTGAAACGGCTTGACCGATTTTGATAGGACTTTCACTCGCTGATAACAAATGTCATAAGGAGTAACTTAAGCTATTGTTATATTAGAACTTTTAAAAACAATCTAAAATAAGTTAAACTAGAATTTAGTTTGTTGTGAATTTGTTTTGTATTATTAATTGTGTAAATTCAGTTAGTTCTAATTTAGTTTTCAGTAAGTTGTGACTATATAATATAAGTTAGCCTACTGTTAGTAACAACTGTACTGTGAAAATGTCCACGGTGCATACCGAAGTTGGCAAGATTCACGATATCGCACCCCGCTGGCTTTCTCGAATCGCCAATTTATGTTGCCATCAGCGAGAAATCGTGTTTTATTTTGTATAGGGTGACCAATATCGTTAAATATAACGGACACATCATATCGGTCAATATTCATGTAGTATTATTAGTTCGAAAACGTGTTTCTTTGTTTGTTATTTTTTATTAAACACGCAAATTTCTTGCTCGTTCTTCTTGTGATGAGACAGCTTTGCTAAAGGTCGAATAACTCGGTAGCTGAAAGCGATAGATTAAAAAAAATGGCTAATCAAGTGCCATTTTAAATAAATCTTTTTCTAAGTAATATTATTAACAAGGATTAGGCATGCGACACTCAACATAGAAACCGCTGTATAGATATAGATTGTACCCTGAGAGGAAGGTAGCTAACAATATATAAATATAAAAAAGCAGACGAAATCACGGTTAATAGCCAGTTTTATACAATTGGTGGTATAAATTGTCTAGAGTTATTATTGTATGTTATTCTTATTGTGCATCAGCTTGGTAAATATATATTATTTAATGGGAACATATTATCTGAATTTCATCCTGTTTAGATAATTTGGACATTGTTTTCCTAACAATTTGGAAGCAGTTGTCAAACATATTAGTCTAAATAGGTTAATAGCTATTAGGGTGACCATTATTGATACGTTTTGTCTTGATAATGGAAGTTTATGCGACCTCGTCTGTGCAAATTTTCGTCCTCTTCTCCACTTCCCTCTACATTATCTTTTGATATACAAAATAGCTTCTAAGAAGATGAACTTTAGGTAACTTTGTAGAATATATCTTCATGCCAAACTTCGTCAAGGTCCGTTCTGCAAGACAGACGTTAATAATATTCTATGGATTAGCAAAGCAAATACAGATGCTTGTACAGATGTCAGTTTATTATTATTTCATACGTACTCGTATGTTATTCTTTATAGAATGGGCTATTAGTAACCTAAATTAAATAAAAGACACAAATTATTTTTGATTTACTCTCTGATGATGGAAACATGTATCTATACATATAAATAAAATTGGAATGTCTGTTTGTAATATTGAAATAACGGTTTTTACTACATGCTTTTGAATATAAATACGGTACATATACCAAAATAACTTTATTTTTTAATTTTTGTCTGTCCGTCTGTCGGTTTGTTTATTCCGGCTAATCTCTGAAATGGCTGGACTGATTTTGACGAGACTTTTTTTGGCAGGTAGCTGATGTAATAAGGAAGTAACTTAGGCTACTTTTATTTTAGAAAAATAAAATAAATTCAACGCGAACGAAGTTGCGGGAACAGCTAGTAACAAATAAAATTAACTCGCTACTTTTAGCTTTGAGTTTGACAATGTCTGTGATATACTCGTATTGTGTACAGTTGTAAAAGTATATTACTTAGAAGAAAATATTTGTTTAAGATAAAACTATTAAAATCAGGAATTATGGTCACCCTAGTCGCTTTATAAGGTGTAATGACAGTCTGGAGCGTTGGTTCTTACTCAGTAACTGTGACTACTTAGTGGCAAAGAAGACGGGCTTCGTGATAGTCGTATACTAGAGTCTTTTCTTTGAACTTTAAAATTTAATTTTGAATGTTTAGTTATTTGTGTTGTGACATTCAAACACGGTCACAAGTAAGTTGTAATACCATTTTTGGTTTGGTTTGGTGGATAAAAGAAATTATTTTTATAAATATGTCTCTATTTTTGTAATTTAGGTGTTAGTTGCGCCGACGAACGTTGTCCGTTGTTGGTCTTCCTTATCACGTAGGGGTATAATAACACTCTGACCTACTAAATATAAACCAAAAAGTTTATAAAAATCGGTCAACCCGTTTCGGAAGATTTGATCAATAAATGATTTATAAATTTGAAAATTTGAATTTGACGTAACATGAGACTTTTCTTTTAGAGATTGAATATATTTGAAACTATATTTAACAGATTATTACGATGATAATTCATGCAAAACGATGCGTATTTACATACCAAAGTTAATTTTTGACACGAAAAAAAAATTTTGAATTATTTAAATATAAGTAACTTAATAAAATTATGTCAAGATACAATCTGTCGTATCTATGTTCTTCATATTACTTTATACTATTACATTTTTTAAGCCATTGCTGAGTACTTCTACATTGCTGAACACTCATGTATAATTAAATACTTGTGATAGGAGATCGCGCTCTTCTAGGCTTATTTATTTATAACTAGGAGTAATAATGAGTAATAAGGAGTAAGTGACTCCTTATTACATCAGCTTCCTGCTAAAAAAAGTCCCGTCAAAATCGGTCCAGCCATTTCAGAGATTAGTCTGAACAAACAGACAGACAGACCGTATTTATATTCATATGCATGTAGTAAAAAACGATTATTTCAATATGACAAACAGATACTTCAATTTTATTTATATGTATAGATTTTTCTTTGTTTTTAAATATAGAAATTTTTAATTTTTAGACTTTCGTACGGTCAAGTCCAATTTGACCAAGTCTAAAGAGAAGGTGTCGGACGAGGCCGAGGAGAAGCTACTGGACAAGGAAGCGGAGGCCAAGATAGTGACGCGGGTTGACATGGCCGATGCAAAGTATGTGGTCGGCGACCATAGGAACGGTGACGCCAAGATCGAACTCGACGCCAATAAAAGGGTGAGCTTTATTAAAGTGGCCAAGTTTTTTTATATATCTAGAGTGACAAACACGCTTATAGTTTTCCAAATTAATAATAATGACCCTGGAGAATTCACACAGCGCCGTAACAAGCTAAGTAGAGCCTGTGTTATGGGTACTAAATAACTGATAGATACTATCTGGCCATCGATTAGGCTGTTTCCTTTTGACAAATTTGCAATAGCACATGCTCATGATCACTCTATTGTCCTTAATTTGAATTTAAAAATCAATTAATTTATGTAATGTAAACATGTACAAGCATATTTGAAAAGAATAAGAGCTGAGTTTCTTGTGAGTTATTCTTAGCTCGAGTGCATTCTGAACTGACGGTAATTTTTGACATATCATTCACGAATAAAGATATTTTGATTTCATTTCATTTAAGATAATTTTTTTTTTGTAAGTACGTATATAATAGAAAACACCCACGCCATTATAAACAATCCTACTCGTGAATTCAAATGTTTGTACAAGAAGTATAAAACCGTGTTGCTAATATCGACGCCCTCCTCCCATTTTATATAATACCAAAAAACATACATGCTATGCCGTTATAGTATAGAATAGAATTTTACATGGCACACAAAATATATAACACTTTACCCGCAGATCTAATAGAATTGACAGGACATAATTTTAAAAATAAATTAACCAAATGGCTGTTGACACACTGTTTTTACTCTCTGGACGATTATTTCAATTATAAATAATAATAAAATAATAATAATTGTAATAATGCTAATAATCTATAAATTTAAATATGTAATATTAATCTAATTGTAATAATGTAGATATTAATATATGTAATTAAGTTTATTAATAAAATTTGCATGCCTACTGAAAAAAGGCATATTACAGCGCAGCCTGCTACTGTCACTGGGGCTTTATTGTTATGTGCATATCTGTCTGTAATGCGAATAAATGACTTACTTACTTACTTACTAGAATAGAAAATCATTTATTCAAATAAACTTACATTGAAGCACTTTTGAATAATCGTCACATTTTTCTTTCAATCTACCGTTCATTTGGAAAGCTGGTCTCATCACAAGAAGAACTAGTAAGAAACTTGCGTGTTGCTCTTTTGAATATTTTATTGTTACTTTACATTTTTAAGTTGAAGTGTGTGAATACAAACTACCAACTAGCAGTAATTCTATTAAATACTCAAATAGATAAAATATTAAATATACAACCAACTGGTTGAGTAACTAAATAAGAGTAAATCAGTCGTAGTGATTAGAGCAGACCAGTACCTACAAGCAGCACTCGTTCACGAGTATGACGGAGGAGCCAACCATCATTGCGCTCGACCATATTTTAGGGAGTCCAATGACCCGGTCTAATAAAAGTCTAATAAAATTTACGAAAAATATTATATTAACTATAAGACACCTCTTGCAGCAGTTCTCTGGACTAACGAAGGAGGAACTCCTCAAGTATGCAGACGACCCGTTCTGGGTGCGTCTGCGCTGGTTCATGTTCATCCTTTTCTGGGCGTTGTGGCTGTGCATGCTGGCCGGCGCCATCGCCATCATCATCAGAGCGCCGAAGTGTGCCCCCCCGAAACCCAAGACATGGTAAGATCACAGAGGTATAGTTTGCACAGAGTTTTCTGTGTGGGACACTTCTGTCCCATCTATATCAATCACCAATTGACATATTTTCAAAATTGGAATGTAATGATATGGTATTAATTTGGTACATGCTCAGAAACACGGCACTCAAAATAACAATAGACTTAAAATAAATATGAACAAAAACAATAAAGCCGATACATACAAATTTACATAACATAATTATCAAATAAATATAACTATTTTAATGCTGTTAGCCGCAACTGGCCTTACAGTTTCACCAAATGATAGGGGGTGAGTGCAGATGGCACTCCAAACGGCCGAAGGAATTAATCTGTATTATTGTAAACATGTACATTTATTTTAAAAGAATACGAGCTGAGTTTCTTGTCAGTTCTTCTCATCTCGAAATCATTCCGAACTGACGGTAGATTTGACATATCATAAGAGTCTGTAAAAGACCTACATGAATAAAGATATTTTGAATTGAATTCAAATCGATCACGTATGTGATTTGCAAGAAATGTTAATATTTTTCCAATTCGACCAGGTTCGAGAAAGGCCCTCTAGTTGACATGACACTGACGAAAACATACGCTGATATAGAAGAACATCTGAAGCTGATCCAAGACTCCAAGGTGCAGGGCATCTTCATCGACGTGCCGCTGACGTACGAGGTGTTGGATCAGACAGAGCCAATAGAACAGTTCAAGGCATTTCTGGTGAAAGCGAAACAATATGGCACTAAGTAAGTTTTTATATATTTTTTTTTATTATTTATATGTTTTAGCATTGAAAAATAAATACAACTTTAAAATTTCACCCTTTTACGGTAAACCCGTTTTTAAGCGACATTAATTTATATGGCAATACATAATATAATAATTATTATTAATGATATAATTAGTATGATTGTTATCTAACGATTGTTTGTTTGTTTTAGAGTGATAGTGGATTTGACGCCTAATTTCGTATTCAACACATCCCGATGGTTCGAATTGAGCGTGAATCGTACTGGCGAGTATACTGACTATTTCATATGGGCCAAAGGGAAGGGCTTCTCAAGCAATGGCTCCCGCCAGGAACCCAACAATTGGGTAAGTATTTTTTTAAGAATGATAATGATATGGTGCACACGTCTGCGCTATCGGTTTACGCTGACGAGGCACCCGTGGAGGATGATAAGATGAATATGAGGGCAGGTCAACTAGCCAATCGTGACAAATTCATCAGGAATTTATCATGATGGTTTCCAGGGCAACCGCGTCATGGTCAATTTGACATTTCTAACAATACACTTACACAATATACCCCGGGAATCGGGTAAGCAATGTGGCCGAAGTTTAGTTCAGGTACCAATCACCTTTCAAAATGATTTAAGTTTTTTTAATGGTTTATAATGGGACTGAATTGTATAAATGCTATATTTATTATTGTCGTTTCATTATCATCAATCCAGTTACAAATATCACACACACACACGAATCACGGGCACAACTAATAAATTGTACCTTTGTTTTCTTAAGCAACTGTAGTGATAGACAAAACAAAGGCCTGCCTGATGGTAGACGGCAACTATCGCTTATATACAAGAAAACACGAATATAATTTTTTATGACCAGGTTTCAACCCTGGACACCCCGGCGTGGACTTACAACGAGCAACGTGACGAGTTCTATTTGCACCAGTTCGGATCTGAGAAGCCTGATCTGGACTTCCACAATTCTGCTGTGGTGGAGCATTTTGACAAAGTGTTGAAGATTTGGATGAAGGCGGGCGCAGATGGTGTCAGGTCAGTGGAGTTTATGTGGATGTATGTTTACTGACCATGAAGTGATAATAGCAGCACTTAACAACATCTTCTATACATAGAACCCGCGACTATGTCTACGAAAAATTTTAATTTTTTTATTAAAATATGTATATACATTATATTATATAAAGGAAATACAGAAAAATACTTAGAATATGCAGATATATTAGGCATAATTGTCATGACATTGAAGGATAAAAAAAGATGTACAATAACAGAATTATAAATTTAAATACTAATTTCCTATTTACCAGTACAGTATGTAACAGTTTTAAGTGCAAAGTAAGAATTTAAGAAGAAGTATCCCTCTGTTATTTATTTGGGATCGACGTAATCTTTTTTCCATTATATACTTAAGGATATCGTTTCCACCTTTTACGACTGGATTTTGTACTAATGATGAGATCTTTTGGCAGATTACGCAATGCGCGCCATTTGCTGGTGAATACGTCTCTGCTGGATGAGAATATGGAATCGGACGCGGGAAGCGTAAAGGGCGCCGACCATCTACAGTACAAGTTTTGGCGACACCAGCATACCACCGACCAGCCCGGCCTCGACGAGCTGCTGGCGCGCTGGTCCAAGCTGGTCGATGACAACGGACCCACGCCTGGAGCAGGTCAGAGGATGTTTCATTTATTTATAACGAGCCGTGCCCGCGTCTTCGTCCGTGTAAAATATTATAGCAGTATTTTACAAATAAGACACATCTTTGAATGTCACATATATTTATTTATTTATTTAATGAACAGCCTAACAAGTAAGTTTATAATTTCTAGCTTTAGAAATGACGATACTTTAATAACGACGATACAACCTTTCATGTCCTCTCCTTTTGAACTCCTGATAACCCTTTTTTCACATTAAAAAGTAGCCTATGTCTTTTCCCAGTACCTAGGTCTGTGTTCCAAATGTCATATAATCGGTCCAGGAGTTTTGGCATGAAAGCACGCACGACACACACGTCAAAAAAAGTGTTTAATATTATGTGAAATAAATGAACTTTTTATTTTACTTGACAGGTGAAACAGTATTTACCCTAAAGGAAACCATGCGACCGGAACTATTCCTGTTGGCGCACAATGTGACGAGTCTGCGGCCACCCTCGGCTGCACCCTTCACCGACCAAGCTGTTAACGCCAGTACACTTAGCGCTAAACTCTCGGACCGACTGCCGCACTGGCCCGCTCTGCAGGTTATTATTTTTATGTATTCCACAACTGTATAGATTATAATAGAAAACCCTTTATTCATATTTAAATATTGCGCTTTTGAATAGTTGTAGTTCCTCGAAATAAGTTTTCTTGGATCCAGCAACTCCTACACTTTCTATAGGAGTTCCTGTTAAATAATATGTTATGCCAATGCTTAAAACATACATCTGTAAATTGTCTCTGCTTTCTTTGGCAATAAATAAATAAAAACAAATTCTTTAATAAAGAATATAATTATTAAAAGATAAAATATAAATATCCAAAAATACAGTATTTTTGAGGAATATTTTATCTATGATTTGCTATAATTTATTTATTACCTGGTTATTTACTTTTTAATCGAATATTATGCATTAAAATGCAATTAAAGATTTATGATATATTAAGTTAGTTAGTTGTATACCATGAATGACACGAGTCTGTGACATAATTTTCTGTCCCTGGGGTATTAAAAGTATTGGCTGAGCGCACAAAAAGACCCTCTAAATAACTGAGATTTACTGAGGACATTGTCATATAGGTATAACTTATAAATGGTTTTATATATTGTTTTCAGTTGGCGACAGTAGAAGATGCAGAGTTGGCTGAATTCGCCATATTGTTGCCTGCCGTGCCTGTTTTCGACATTGAGCAACTGCGGCCGGCCGGCAATGATTCAGAAGCTGTAAGTTATTAGTAATTCACTTTTCTACGTTTGAAAAATCCGAACTTTAAAATTCTTTATCACCATTCGACAATCTTTATAAACTGTCAAATATATCGTAGTAGGTAAAAAGTCGTTTCGCGCCAAGCAACTTGCTTTGTAACCTGTGTTTCAATTGAAATTGAAAGGCAGTGAAATTACTTGATAAGATGCATGATATCTTAAACTATATCTTAAATACATTGTGCTATTGATTTGATACAGACGACGCTTCTGAAACACCTGGTGCCACTGCGTGACGACGCCACCATCGAACACGGCAAGTACGACATAGCTGTTGTACCAGCCGTCAACTCCTCCGTTGAGATGTTGGCCTGCGCCAGGTCAGTATTCTTTCTATCATTAGCTGTACTTATACACTTGTTTCCGGGATGTAATGGCACTATCTTTGAGGCTTAATTTGATAATCCTTATTTTTTTAAGCAAATTGGTAATAATGTTTTATGATACAAACTGGTTGTCACAATATCAACAAATAGTACACTAAAGGTACTAGGGGTAGAATCTAAAAAACTCATCTCTGTGGTGATCTCATCTATTTCAGCCGTCAAGCAGCATACTTTGTAAGCTGTGTTTTGGTTATAAGGTGCAGATTAGGTTGTGAAATTACAGGATAAGAGACATGATATCAAAGTCCACTGTAATTACTGGAAACATTACAAGATATAACATTTATATTGAAATAAATGTTTGTTGCACAGGTGGAAGTCTGGCCACACTGGATATCTAGCTGTGCTGAACCCCAGCACTGAAGACGCTGTGGCGAATCTGACGCTTCCCACAGTGCCCGCCTCAGTCACTGTTCACCACGTCACGCAGACAGTGAAGATGCGTACAAAGTTCGTATTTAGTATTGTCATTTTAAATTTCTAATATCCAGTATTATCTTTCGCACGATGCTTGGAAATAGTGTTAGATTAAATCCTGCTCGAAGGACCAATTGTTTTTGGTCTATTACCGGTCAGATTGTAATAAAGAAGTGATATTTTTCTGCGATTGGGTTACTTGCTTGTTATGATACATAACTCGTCTATTTCTGCTGCCATCCGCTTGCTCTGAAAACTGTTTCTGGTTTGTAGGACGAGTTAGTGAAAGTACAGGATATGTAGGCATAACGTAGTTCTCAGGAATGGCGACATATGAAAGGTATCGTATTTTGGGATCTGTAATGCTGTTTATATGTATAAGCGCTCATTACCAATAGCATAATCTTTAATCAGTCAACTGGGACGACTAATGAATTAATATATATGTTATTTGTAATATATTAATTTTTTACAGTTACATCAACAACATGGCGCTGCCAAGGGACGGCGTTCTGGTACCACAAGGAGCTACAGTCGTACTCTCGTACGTCCCAGCGATGGCTGCCGAGAATTAGAATTGATCAGCCAGATCGCAGCTAAAAATTCCCGCTTCTCACGCCTCCTGTATTGGCGTCCTTTTTTTGCATTTCTATCACTCGAATAAATTATCATTGAGCATTTAACACGTTGTTTTATTATTATTGTTCTAATTATAAAAAATATATACATATATACATGAAAAATATAATTGATAGACACGTCTCATACGCGTAATGTAAGTACATTCCCGAGGACTGAGATGGGTTATCTTTGGTCTATTTTGGATAAATCGCTTCCATCATCAACTTATCCGAAGTAGACTGTTGAGAAGTAGAAGTTGTACTAAGTCATCTGCGTGCGTACCTCTGTGGGCGCTATTTCGGGCATTTTGTACTTCGAAGTTGAGATATGGCAGTGAAATTATAAGGTAGGATGTACAACGGGTGTAGTATGACAATGTAATGTTAGTGATGCTGTTCAATTATGTAGGGGGCAGTTGTCACTTTCCAATTAAATGGGTCAGCTATTTAAGTTATATAAAAAAAAAACTTCATTTACAAAATAAAGTACGTTTATGTCAATAATATCTGCTGTTAATAACATTTAAAAAAAAGCATAATCATTTTGTACAAATATATAATAAATGTCTTAAACTTGGTAAGTACGTATATTTGAGTCTTGCTTAATTAGGTCCCGATGTTTTTATATGGCCAAATAAAATTACACTAAAGGGATAAAAAAACTGACGTCACATAGAAGTTACCTTATAATCAAAGTAATGTATTATATAATAAATCTATTAGTGTTGTCTTTTCTTACTAGTTACTATATTCCTTTGATAGAAAGTGACAATATACTAACATTTAAAATTGATTTGTACATTTCACTTTTTTTACGAATAAGGACATTAGAAAATAGTGTACCAACACGTTGCTAAAACTTTTCCCAAAATCCTGCGCAGTCTGATATTATTTTAATCCCTGTTCTCTGTTCTGTTCACGGAGGACAAAATTTGCCTTTATACCTATTATAACGGCATTATATACCTACTTGTTAACATTGTAGCGGGAGTCTCATTATTTGACAAAGAATTTATTACCTTTGTTGATTTTTTTTCTGTTCATTTGGCTTTATTGGTCACAGAAAACAGACATTGTTCTTAATATAAGTAACAATTCTCGTATGAAACAATAAAATCTATAGTTTTGCTATTAGGTATTGACCGTTCAAACACCTCTCAATTGGTTTACAATTCGTTAAATGAAAACTTGTATTTCAATTTGTTTCCATAGAGTACTGTTGTCAATATAGTCACTTAATAAAACGACATATCTAAATGCTCGCTTTATATTGGCTACCATGTGTCCAAAATTATCATTTTCTTTAACAATGACCATAAATGTTCTTGAAGTGCTAAAGTTTAATGAATATTAAATTTGATTTTTGTGTTGGTATATTTTTTCTAATTTCGATACATTCGTCTAGTAGATACATTACCTACGCTATTGTTTTGATGAAAACACGAGAAGTCATGTACGAACGTAATGACCATTGAAACTGTGTAGTAAATGGCCAGAGCCAAACACATCCTTAATAAGAAATCTTCAAGTGTAAATACACTTCTACGCGAATACTTCGGAATGAATTCCATCTTTAAATGTGGTGTTACAGACGCCTGGAACACTTCTGGTGTTACAGGCGTCCTACGGGATCCGTTTACTATTACCTTATGTTTAATTACCACCAATGCTGTATAAAAAAATAAGAATTTCTCTCTCGTTTTTACAACCAGTAGGATATATTGTATATTGATTATTTAATACATCAAAAGTTACGTACATTTGGGCTGATTATTTCGTACAAAGTTTTAACTAAATAAAATAGCGCGTAAGTAAAGAGTATTTATGTTAGCGAGTTCAGTACCCAGTTGTCCATTAGCCAGCCGGTTGTTCCCGATTCCTTATCGAACTCCATACCAGCCGTTGAGATCCGAACTTTAGGAACCGAACAGTTAGAAAGCGCGGGCTATCCAGAAATTTCTTTATCTAATTTGTAGTTCTAAAATTAGTACAGCCAAAAATCACATCCGGTCAACCGGAGAGCCGGTCGACGGGACAACCAGAGACAAACGGCGGGTTTTATAACCGGTTACCGTCGTTTCGCGGCTGGTTTAGGTTTGTTGAACTGGTAGTTCGCGCACTTGGGTATGTGCCTCTCGGCGGCGGACTGGTTGAACCGGCGGCTGCAGTGGGGACATTGCACGTAGTCGGGGTTCTCAGACGGGGGCGGTGGTGGAAGGTCACTCAGTTTACCTGTAACAAAATTGTATGTTATAGTCTTTTTTATAGCATAGGGGACAAACGAGCTTGAGATTCACCTAATGGCAGATGATTACCGCTGCCCATAAACACCCTTAACACCAGAGGAATTGATAAGATAAAAAACTTAAGTATAACATTCCAGTGCAGGAGATTCCAGGAGAGATTTTGAGCTTCGTCAAGTGACAACCGTCTATACGGGAATGTCTATATATAATGTACAACCTGAGTTAGTTAATAAATACTGATCCATGCAGACGACTTTGTACAAAGTAAACTTGGGTAAAGTAATAAATACTGACCACCGGCGTTGAGATGCGCCTGCACTTGCTTGGCGGCCCGTATCGCCTGTATAAACTCTTCGTGTTTCTGTCGCCAGTTGCTGTTCAAAGTCTTGGTGGTCACTTTCGTCGTGGGGGGGTTGGTTTGACTCTTGCGCACCTTGTTGATGAACGGCTCGGCTTCTGTACCCTGCATGGTGTATATAAATAAATAAATAACCCTGGACAATAAACACGGCGCCATCTAGTCCCACGGTAAGCACTTGTGTTATGGATACTAGACAACTGATAAAAATACTTAATTTTTAAAATGTTTTGTAAATACATAAATAATATATATAAAAATCACCCAGACATACCCCATAAACAATCATACTCATGAATACAAACATTTGCAACGAACTTGTGACCATTGGAAGTAAAGGGGTGCTAAACCGCTAGATCACCGAGGCCATAAAATATATAGCTGATAATATTATATTCATAATAATATAATATAAATATGTTTAAAGCGTATGGTCAGTTGTTTTACATATGTGTGCAAATGTTTTAGGTAAGTACAATGTACGCGAAGAGCGCTGTATGCCCTTTATACTTAATAATGGATTTAATTATTTTAATAAGATTTAGATTAATGGATGGATGTTGGAGCCCTGTCGGTTGTTAGTGTTTGCAGAAGCGCGAATTGATAACTTTCAAGCCATAATGCACATACATTTCGTGTTCACTAAAATATTTTTCCTTGGTACTGTATAATTTCCCAGCAAAGTCCCAAACCAAAACTACGTTTTGTGTTACAATGCAAACTACTATAAATAATATAATACAGATGGTTCGAGCATATCTTATAGTAAGAACTAACTTAATGTAACACTCGCACACCACAAACAGTTAATGATTTTGATTATGAACAGACATTGACGATGTAAACAATGATAATCATGATTTAATAACAGACACAACAGCGAATGCTTGCCTTATAGTTTTCTGCATCAGTGCCCTGTTAAGTTAAGGGGTGGCAGCATAAAGAAATTTTCATGGTTAGTTTTAAAATATAATATTAAAAATATGTATACCTGTATAATATATTACATAATTTTGTTTAGTTTAATAAACTGCCTTCGAGTATCTCTGTAATCCCTAAGATTGGTTGGTAGAGAATGCTAAAAAATATATATATGTTATATATTTATATATTGACAACAGACTTTAATCTTCCATTTATTAATTTCTGAAAACTAGAATTTATAAAAAACAAACTACCCACCCCGGCTTTTCACGGGTGTACATGTATTATACATATAAATCTTCCTCTTGAATCACTCTATCTATTAAAAAAAAGCGCTACAAAATGCGTAGTTTTAAAGATTTAAGCATATATAGGGACGGACAGACAGCGACAGTGACTTTGTTTTATACTATGTAATGATATACAAAAAAAGCAATATTTTAATATATTCATATTTATTTATATTATTATTTAATTACGTATATTTTTATTATTGATATTTATTTTTTGATGCATTTCACGTTAAGTACATGTTGTTAACGCATACTTAACGGTGCAGTGACGTTAACATCAATTGAGTTTAGAGGTTAATAAACCTGAATTATAATTCAGGTTACTACTATTAGAGTGCTATAGCACTCCCCATAGGAACCTGCACCCGGGTGAGCCTCCACTCTTTGAACCCCGGGGTGAAGACGGCCTTTCTTTACAACAAGGAGATGAATCATGGAGATCAGCCCGCCCTAGGGAAGGTGAACGGATACTGCCGGATCTGAACCCCATAGAGTCCTCCGCTCGCTGCTAGAGCCAGGGTCACGGGATCGAAGTCTACTACCTAAGTCTGTCAAAACTTACCGCAAGTCTATGCTTGAGCGCATCGAACGGCTTCCGTTTCTTGGCGTGCGCCTTCTTGCATATCTCCTGGTGTTTGGCGAGCCGGTCGGCCGCGAACCGTCGGCCGCACACCGTGCACCCGACGCCGGAACCGGCGGACGACGCGCCGGCAGTTGCCGGACCGGACGGTGCCCGCGTCTTGGTGCTGCTGCTCGAGCTCTGAGGGGAGGCCTATGTCATGATATTTTTTTTATTGTTGAGTAAAGATATCCTTTTGTACTAGCATTATATATGTATGCATATATGTGTATATTAATGTTTAGTTGGTATGAACATGTGAATTATCTGGTTGTTAATGTTTTTCTTTCTTTCCTACTCTACATACATTGCAGAATGCACTATTATTCGCGTAGTAAGCGTTATGGGTTTCCATTTTTATTAATTAACTAGCTGACCCCGTGACTTCGTCCGCGTGGAATTTGGCTTTATATTTCTAAAATAAAAGTAGTCTAAGTTACTTCTTATTACATCAACTACCTGCCAAAAAAAGTCCCCTCAAAATGTCAGAACAAACAGTCAGACAGACAAAAATTGTAGAAAATGATATTTTGGTGTATGTACCGTTTTATATTCATATGCATGTAGTAAAAAACGGTTATTTCAATATTACAAACAGACACTCCAATTTTATTTATATGTATAGATAAGCTGTTTCTGCAACGAAGTTACCAATTTGTTTGTTCACTGAATTGAATAATGCTTGAATAATAGTTTTGAAGTATTATTTGGTTCTACCACATATCCGGTACGCAGACACGTCACAAGAGGAATGACCAAGAAAATTGGAATGAACAACACTCAATTAATTAACACTTAAATGCTTGCTACAAAATTAAAATCTTATTCATGTTGGTTATGCGTTTCTGAAGTGTGCAAAAACGAACAGACAAACAGACAAAAATGGCTATGTATGATATTAATAAAAAAAACTCACCACTGGTTGCCTTCTTGGTACCTGAAAGTTATAAAACAGTTTGGTTTTATATTTGAATGTTATTTAAACCAAGCAATTTATCTCAGCTTTTGTTTAGTTTTTTTTCTGATAATAACAGTCCACTTTATCGCAAGCGGAAACCGTTGCCTATATATGTATATGAACTACATGACACCCGTGAATTGACATTCTAAAGGACTAAATTAAATCGCTATTAAAGAATAAGGGTTGATAGTAGAAGGGTGAAATTTTAGGGTTGTATGTATTTTTATTGCCACTATATAAAAAATAATAGTAAATATTTTGTCAAAAAATAATAAATAAATGTTATACCCTTATCACTTAGGGTTATGAAAAGGATAGTAGCCGATTCTCAGACCTACTGAAAATGCATATAAAATCGGTCAATCCGAAATTTTAATGAAAATTTTGTTAATTTGAGATTACATACAGACACTTCAATTTTATTTATTTGTATAAAACAGTCCTAGAAAAAAACGTAGAAACTATAGTGAAAAACGTATCATATCCATATCAAACTCAACTCCGTTACGTGGTTTAGAAGTAATAAGTATCTCGATTTAATAAGAATCATTATTATTTATTCTATTAGAAATTACATATATAATTAGATATGTTTAAAAGATTGCCATACTTACAGGATTGGCGCCACGTTGCATAGCCCCCCGGGCCTTATTGCTGTCTGCCACCTGAACACATAATGTAATTTTTTTTCACAATTTAATTTACAATTCGTTAAATTTACAATGAATTTGCCATTATGTCAACAGAAAATGAAAGCAATGTCATAATTATTATGACATTTGTAAATTATATAAATTTGGAATAAAACGTGATCGTGGAAATTATTTCGTACCTCTTTTTTCATAACAGATAATAAACAGAATCAAAAAGTTTAAACACTTCCGTGGATACGTGTTACGGTAGTTTTTCGAGATTTTAAAATAAGGATTACTATCGAGTATTTTTTTCGTTAGATATATTGTGCTTACGCGATATTAACGCGAGTTTTGTACTAATTCGATGCTTGGCGATATATTGATCAATCAAATATTGTGTTCACCATGACAACATGCAGTGTAAGTGCAGTGTTAAGTTAATTGTATAATATTTTGATGGTCTCGGTGGTCTAGTGGTTTAGCACACCGCCTTGCTTCCAATGGTCGCGGGTTCGGTTCTTCGCACGGCATAAACATTTATATTCATGAGTATGATTGTTTGTATCGGTCTGGCTGTTTTCTACGTATAGTATGTATGTATTCACGAAAAAAAATATGTAAGTATTCAAAACACAAACTTTAGCTAGCTTAATTTCTCGAGCTTCTCGCCAGTTCTTCTCAACTGAAGTAGGAAGCCGAACAGTGGGGACAGTGAAACGTAAATTTGATATGTATGTATGTTTCTATGTTATTGTAGTACCCATATAGAGTACATATTGGAAATTTATTATATACTTATTTTATTAAAATTATGTAATTATAAATAAAGTATTTTTTAAATATTTTATTTAAGATTTTTTTAAAACCGCGCCAAGAAATAAAGCAATGATACACGGACTGCTGACCACTAAATAGTCCGTAAATTCAATAAAAAATATAAAGGTTTGTACATACTGCATTGTCACTGGTAGTTTTCCTTGGCGGTGTCGCTGCCGGTGTTTGAGGCTTCGCTTTTGCTGGACTACCTTTAGCTACGACTGCTGGAGTTCTGAAAATACAATTCACCATACATATTAAGATACACCTATTTGCTTTAAATATATATATCAAATTGACTGAATTGATTGAAAATATACAATTTAATACAAACATTAAATTGTATATTTTCAAGACAGAAAGATCGTTAGGAATACAAAAATTGTGTTGGGTTTCTATCGAACCAAATATCTAAAAGTAATCGTGGAACAAAACAACAAAGCTGAAGGTAATCGTTTGAAATAAACTTTGTTTGAAAAATAAATACTTTTTAATATTTAAGTCAAACAAAATCAAGTATCATTTCTAGTGAATTCGCTACGACGTGTTGACTGATCTGACTTCATGTTTATCCTATAATCCTCTACTGGTGCCAGCATATACCGTTGCTGCAGGCTAGAGCAACATTACATTATCATCCATAATATAAAAAAACAAATACAAAAAAGATAGATAAAAAGCTTTATTTTTCCCAATTTTTAATATTTACAATGTTTGTCCTGCATAAATCCGACCATGATTTGTATGCAGACACGTAGTTCACTCTTATTTATTGAGTTATTATCAAACGAAATATGCCTATATTATCATCGGGAAGAGTATTGTTAGTAAAGTGGACTAATAACCCTACTGCGAGCAATGTAACATGTCAAGTTGACCTCCTCGTGGTTCCTCTGGAAACTATCGTGATAAATTCATGGTGAATTTACCACGACATGGGCTAACTGATCTGACCTCATACTCATCTTATCATCCTCCACTGGTACTCCGCCAGCGTATACCATTAGCTCAGGCGGGTGCACCATTCCATTATCATCCTTAAGACTACGTAATCATCTAACAATATAATAAGAGACAATAAGAACAGAGAACTAACCTTCTCTGTGGTTTCTTAGGCTCTGGTTCCGGTTCTGGAGATCTGGGGGTGGGGATCGGCGCAAGCGCATCCGGGAATGTCTCGTTTTCTAATAAGTAGTTGTTGTCCGCCCTGTCCACTTCGTCTATGCTATTGATCAGCTCACCATTGTTGTTGGGCAACTACGTGATGTAAAAAAAATACGAAATATTTTTAAAAATAAAACCCTGGACAATTTACACAGTGCCATCTAGTCCCATGGTAAGTAAGTAAGTAAGTTATGGGTTCTAGACGACTTAGATAATTTTTTTGTAAATACATACAAAATATAGCATAAATACTCAATCCACTCGACCACGTAATCACGACCACTTAAAATTACCATATTAGTTAGGTAGTTTAATATTCGCACTTTATATAAGAATGTATGCGACAATCAATACAAAACCGCTACGCTATCTATATATATATTTCAAGAAAGCAATACGAAAAAGAAATTATAACGTTGACTGCAAATAAACTTGTTTTTGCTAGATATTGCTGTCAGGTATGATCTGATATGGTACGGGCCATAGAATAAAAAATGTCAACAATCTGAGTTTACATAAGTACTTTGTTGCTCTGTATAATACAATAACACAAGCAATATTTAGACTTTAGTGTACTACTTACCGCAAGTTTCACGGAATTTAGATTCGGCTCGTGATTGTGGTTGAGATCGCCGGAGCCGTTTACTATGTTTTCTATTTTCTGAAATGGAAATTTCAAAGATTTAGCATATAGGTACGTATTATTTCTTCATCATTATTATCATAGTTCTTTATCTCTACTGCATTTATTACATTACATTTCAAAATATTTAGCCTACTACTTACCTGGTAATATAGCTTGGTATAGGTCTTTCTCAAGTTTGTGTTTCGTAAAATTACTTTTATTGGTCTGGATATTTTCTATGTATGGTATACATATATTATGTATACCATACATAGAAAATATCCATTTGTATACATTTGCAAAAAAAAGAAATCAATTATTTATATCAGTTATATAGTACTCATAACACCAGTACTGCTTAGCTTGGGACTAGAAGGTGCTGTGTGAATTGCCAGGATTTATTATTTTGTTCCCCTAGACTTGAGGTTCTCAAACTTTTTTGTGTCGTAGATCACTTAAAAAATTAAGTAAATTTCTAACTGTAGTAAAGTTTAGTGTTAAAAACATAAAGTAAAAACAACAACATGACCGCTGTCGTAGACCGCTTGCAGTTTGTCATAAACTCCTGGGGGTCATCAATATAGACCACTTTGGGAATCACTGCTCTCAATACTCAATACTCAATACTCAATATTTATTGCATTCCATAATATTACAGTGAAAGATGTTTATAATACGTTTTCGATCATTATGGACCCTGTTAGGGCACGCAAACATAACATTATTATTACTATTATTATAAATAGTTATAACATATAATTTAATATTATTCATCCAGTTATACATTGTAATATACATTAATTAAATGTTACATAAAAACTAAAATACATCATTCAAATAATCACTTACATTATAATATTGTTTTTTACATAGTAAATCCTTTAAGTATTTTATAAATAGGCTATTCTTATTTAAAGTTCTTATAGAAGTTGGGAGTTGGTTAAATATTTTAATAGACGATACCAAGGGGCCACTAGAATGTAATTTGAGACGAGAGGTGGGTAATTGTATTTTTTTATTATTACGCAACGCGTAATTATAGTCTGTGTCTTCTCGCAACTTGTACAGTTCCGGATATTTTTTTACAAATTTACACACTTCCAAAATATAGATGCAAGGCAGGGTGAGTATTTTATTTATTATAAAATAAGGTTTACAGCTATCTCGGCTTCTTATGTTAAATATTATTCGTATTAATTTCTTCTGGAGAGTGAACAGAACAGATGCGTCCACGCTGTTCCCCCACATAACCACCCCATAACTGAGCCATGCATGTGCAAACGCATAATAGGTGGAAAGGGCAGTAGAGACGTCTGTAGTCCTTTTCACTTCCCGAAGAGCATAAACGAAACTAGACATTTTTGTTTTTATCTTTTGTATGTGTGCTTTCCAATGTATATGGGTATCTATTACTAAACCTAGAAGTGTAAATTCATTAGCTGTTTCTATTGTGATGTTGTTAAATTTAAAGTTTATATTTAGGGGTTGTTTTTGATATGGATGAAAGCTGATGATTTTAGTTTTTGAAAAGTTAATAACTAGATTATGTAGATTCATCCAATTTACTATTTTTTCCATAATTTTCTGTAATTTATCGTTTAAATCAATGTTAATATCATATGAAGTCAAAAGTGACACATCATCCGCAAACAATACGCACAGTTCGTCTATAATTTTTGGCAGATCGTTTATATATATTAAGAACAATAAGCATCCAATTACACTACCCTGGGGTATAGAAGCGTTTGTAACCGTACCACTTGATCTTATAGTTTGTATTTGTTTAGTGTCATAATTGAAGTATTCGATTTCTACAAATTGTTCGCGATCTGCCAAATACGATTGAAACCATTCATGAGTTTTTCCTCTAATGCCAATTCCATATAATTTATTCAGTAATATGTTGAACTGTACTCTGTCATAAGCTTTGGACATATCTAGTAATATACCTATAGCATATTTTTTGTCATTTATGATATTGAGAATCTCCTGTATATATTTGAATATTGCTAAGGTTGTGGATCGATTTTTACGAAAACCATTTTGAGAGTCATGAAAGATATTATATTTTTCGCAAAATTTATAGACGCGTACACACATGGCTTTTTCGAAAATTTTTGAAATTGCTGGTAAAAGCGCTATCGGACGGTAGTTGTTAGGATCTGTTTTTTCGTTCTTTTTATGCATTGGTTTTATGAGAGATTTTTTTAGTTCATTCGGGAATATTCCTTCGGTAAATGATTGATTTATAAGAAGGCTGAGTGGTAAAGCTAGTTCAGTGGCACACTGTTTGATCAGTTTCGGTGGCATTTCATCAATTCCTGAGCTTATTTTATTTTTTAAGTTTTTAATGATCGTGTATACTTCTTGGGTATCTACCGGTCTAAGAAATAATGTATTTTCGATGGAATGAAGTATGGGATAGCCAAGCACAGAATTTTTGTTTACACTTCCGATAGATGTAAAGAAGCTATTAAAAGTATTTGCGACTTTAAATGGATCAGTAATGACATTATCATTTAATTTTAATTTTATGTTGCTCTTATCCATGGTTTTTTTCTTGTTTGTACGCTCATTAATTATACTCCACATAGTGTTCATTTTATTGGACGATTTTTTCATTTTATTTATATAGTCTAATTTTTTTGCATTATTTATTGTTTTTTTTAACAATTTTTCGTATTTTTTATAATAATTATTTAGTATCGGATTTTTCGTTTTTGATGCAAGTATCTTTAAATGTCTTTTATTTTGGCAAGAGACTTTAATACCCTTTGTAATCCAATATTTTTTATGTTTTGTATTCAATTTTATTTTACGTTTAGGTATGCATTTATTAAGCGTTTGGATTAAAATATTATTGAATCTATTATAATTTTGATTTATGTTATTGTCTGATTTTATTATATTGTACCAGTTAATGTCCATTAATTTTGATTTAAAATTATCCATATTATTTGTATTATAAAGTCTTTTTTCAAGGTACCAAGTTGACTGCCTATTTTGAAAGTGTAATTTTATTTTTATAATTGTTGCGGCATGATCTGAAAATCCCAACTCCTCAACTATTGTAGATACGTTATTTTTATCAATATTAGAAAATATTAAATCTATACATGTGGCAGATGATTTTGTAATATGTGTAGGACAGTTTATAAATTGTTTCAAGTTATATTCTGACATTGTACATAAGAAATTATTCGTTTTTGCATTTTTTATTAGAATGTTTATATTAAAATCTCCACCCAATATAATTTTGTGCTTTGAATATTTGGTGTTTATAAATTTCAATATTCTCTGTAATTGTATATTAAATATCTCTTCCTCTCTTCCATTCCAATACATTACAATCAATAATGTATCTATTTTGGTTAATTCTGTTGCGCAAACTTCCAATACGTATTCTCTAGACATTTCGGAGATCTCCTTCACTTCTATGTTTTCAATATTTTCCTGCAGTAGAATACAGACGCCTCCTCCGCATCTTGTTTCTCGACAGAAGGAAGCTGCCTTTATATATCCGCTAATAGCAACTAGCTTATACTTTTCCTTTGTCAGCCAAGTTTCAGTTATACAAATTGCTTCGTAGATTGGATGCTGATTTATGAAGGCTTCTAATATATTTTGTTTATTATAAAGACTTTGCAAATTTTGGAATATTATACTAAAGCACGGATCGATTTTTGCGAAAGGTACGAAAGGTACTAATTCTATTATTATTTGTTGCTAAGTTTATTTGACTATTGTTAAATTCTACTGTATTATCATGCTCTTCGCCATTGCTAGTTTCAAAAATCGTTTTTTCCTTCTTTTGCCAGTTAATCCTTTTTCCATCCACAAATAGTTGATTATTACGTATTATTGCATGATTTCCTCCATTCCTAGATAGAAACATTTGTTCTCGCAGAGCCATTTTTTCCTTTTGAGCGTCTCTATCTAAGTACTCAGAGATGTATAATCCAGTACCATAAAAATATCGACTACTATTTATTATGTATTTCACCATTTTTTTACTTAATAACTCGATAACCAAGGGTCTATTTGTATTATATTTTTTACCAAGCCTATATATGTCGTCAAGACCATTTTTAAATATTTCGTACGTACTACTTTTGATTTTCATAAGAGGGAATACGAGAATTTGTTCACACGATCCAAATTCACCTTTACGGATATATCCAAATAAATGCCTGTGAGACCCATACTGCTGCTCATGATGATGGTAAGTGGTAACCGTCGCATGTACACATACATGTGGCTCGTCAGCTTGTTCCCCAATCTGAACATACAAAAGTAATACTCACATGGTGTTTCACGACATTGTGTGAACTGATCGTGTGCTTCGTGCTCTTCTTCTCGACGCTCACCCTGGAGGTGCTGGACACTTTCGTGTAGCCGTTAGGTAGCGGCTTGCGGGCAGGTCGATCTGTATTGTGGATGGGCTGTAGAGGATAACTCTTGTCTATTCCAGCCTTTGTCCGACGCTCTTCGAACATTTGACGAACCTGAAAGTTAGTTGACATCTAAATAAGACTTTCCTTCGATTTCCAATTTTTCTACGATTATTATTCTCGAAGAAATTACAGATGAGAAAAATTTGATAATATCTTTATTCTATATTACGAAATATTCACGCGTTTTATATCGCGCGTGATCAGGTTACTATTTTTCCAAATGTATTCCAATTGGCAGATTTGGTTGCTACAGTCGTTCATGCTGGCGATGAGTGGCGTAGCAAACAAATACGCATTTGGTATGGCAACCAAATTAGAGTAACCCCGATGTATGGCCGTGTGTAACAACAGCACATAATAAAGTATAGAAGTTCGACTAGCTGTGCCTGCAGTTCACCCGCGTATAACTTATAGCATGTGTATGTATGTGATATACAGAATAGCATATAAGCTATAAATTTTCGGATGCGATTTTTCTGTTTCATTAAAATCTGTTAAGTAGTTTTGTGTGAAAGAGTAACACAATCATACATCCATCTAACCACACTCACAAACTTTCGCGATTATAAAACTAGCGTGCCCGCGATGCACCCGCGTGTAGTTTACAGCCTGTGTGTTATTCTCATGTATAAACTAGATTATTGTAAAGTTTGTTTAAATTCCATTCAGTAGTTTTTGAGTTTACATCCATCCAAACTCACAAAATTCCGTGTTTATAATGTTAGTAAGATAGACAATTACAATGTCCGTTTAATACATGACATCTTCGGCAAAAACGAATCTATTTGGAAGAATATTTTTCTATTAATCTTCATCGTGCTTATTTCGTAACCACAATGAGCGTTTTACACTGGTGCTTCGTTAATGAATATCCCGAGCACATGCGAGATCTTTATTCTATCATCATATATAAAAACTCCTGGTATGTTAATTGACATTACCTTTCCAGGATGGTGTGACACGGGTGGCGGTTGTGGTGGTGAATTAGCACTAACACCATTGCTAGGAGAGTGTCGCACACGGTCGAGAGCGCGGGCCTGTTGCGCCTCGTATAGTGATGCGATCTTCAACTCACGTTCTTGGAGTTGCTTCTGCTGGTATCGGGCCTGGTAGACAAAGGAAATCGTTGTCAGAATTAACTAAAAACTAATTGTTACTTAATATCGATATAGACAGATGTATGTAATGACCACATAGAATTAATTTGAAGAATAGTGTAAATAGAATTTGTACGTCTCAAGTTGGTTAGAACATTTATTTTTATTAGTTTACTGAATTTTCCACTACAATTAGAATGTTACGTACATTCTAATTATTTTTCATTCTAATCCATTTTCATACGTATTACTGTTATCTACTTCTATGCTACGCTGCATTAAATTGAAAGGAAGATTTAAAGGTAAATCTACCTTGGATTAGAGAATATAAAATTATTTTTTAATATTGTATTATCTACTAGCTATGCTTGCGGTTTCACCTACATGAAATTTATAGCCTATGTGTTATTCTGATATATAAGCTATAATACTGTAAAGTTTCATCAAAGTCCGATCGAAAGAACTGAAAAATATCTATACATAAGTAAAGGTTTTAATTACTGTGCTACAGGTGTCGTTCTAATAAACAAACGTAATTAAGCTCTGAGAATTTAATTGCGTAGCGCATATAAAGAACTCGTTATTTATTTATAGGTACTCTCTATTGCAGGTGTTAATTGAAATAATATATGGTTAATAAAATGAGTAAAAGTACCATTTCTTTCAAGCGCTATAACAAATTTATAGAAGAAGTAGAGAATAAATAGACGAAATTCCCTTATAATTGAGTTGTATGGATAACTTTTAAATATTTAATTTGTATTAACATTGTTACATTTGAACAAATAGGCACATTGACTGAAATGAATCGTATTTAAAATTAGTACTATTATATTATTCCTTAGCTACAGTAACTACTAAGCTAAGGAATACCCTTAGCTACACTAAAGTCATAAATACCTAATTTTAATTGTAATATTTTGCTCCTTTTCCTTTGAATATTGTAACTTACAGTATATGTACAAATAAAACATTCATTGTTATTATATACAACTCTGATATGATGTTACTAAGAATAAATTATATTTACTGCTGCATATCCACTGAATTCTATTACCAACTAGAATTAAAATTTTGATGGCCGGAGCCAAAGTTCGCGGGTCAACTTTCACTGAGGCTAACGATCACCTCACACGTTTTGAGTTTGCACTCGCCTACATTTTCAATCAGCTATGCCGTAAATACCAATTATTTCCATATAATTTGAAAAAAGCTCATCATACATTGCTTTTAATAACACTGTCAATTTTTGGTTCACTGGATTGATATCGTATTGGTTTAACTTAAATTTAATTTACTGTTTGTATACCAAATGAAATAAAATATATTGTTTATTATTTTATTAAATTTGTAAGTTGTTATATTCTTATTTTTATACTATATAAATTTATATATGGTTGCTTATTTTTGTGTATATATTTCATTGTAACGCGTACTATTTATTGGACCTATTTCCACCACTCCACAATTCCTCTTAGGTTGACTGGAAGAAATCTCTGTCTTGGGATTATATGAAACATAGTACATAACATACATAAACATCCAACATACATATTCGGGGCACTACAGTAATAAAATATCACGAGAACAGAATTTGTATCGATAAGCTTGATACCGACAAGCGAAACCTACTCTACGATATGTGTCATTTGAGTTGCTTAGATGTATAGCAAAAGGAATAATTGTAAACGGGGGCGGAAGGTCGACACCCACATACCATTACAGCTGGAGAGACAACCTGCCAATCGTTTTATATTGTTCTATTGAATATCACTTCCGTCACTTGATTGTAAAGGTCGAATCTTTAGAATGGAAATACTATCTATAAAGTTAGATCCTTTATGGAGTGAATACAACAACAATATATAAACCTGAATGCCAACATAATATAAAAGGCATAATGTGACACTTTAGTTTAGAGGTTTAGCATACCGTTTTACTTCCGATGGTCGCGGGTTCTGTTATCGCACAATACAAACACTTGTATCCATGAGTATTATTGTTTATATTGGTAACTGGTTAAAATGTATTTAATTTGTTTAGTATATATAGTATAAAGTTCTAGTTAGTTTCAGTGTATTTAAAATGATATAAAATAATCGATAAACCTTACTAGTATTATAAATGCGAAAGTAACTCTGTCTGTCTATCTGCCTCGCATTCACGTCAAAACTACTGAACCGATCTGAGAAAGGACATAGGATACTTTTTAATGCGAATAAAGGGTTCTAAGGGGTTGAAACGGAGGGGGAGGGGGGTGATGAAAGGATGTATATAAGAATCGTCATTTACAAAGCTAGATGCTTTAATCTTATTTTTTAGGCTGTTGATTGAATTGTAAGGATTTCTGTAACGTCATTTTTGAAGCTAAAACGATGAAACTTTCATGTGACTTTTATTGAGTTAGATCAATAAATATTTTTTATTATTTGGTCAAAGTCACAGTGGGATATAAATTTATAAAAAAATATTTAATAAATAATTGATTGTAATGCTAACCACAAATAATATATCAATTAATAATCGATTTTTTTTATGCAATGTTATATTTCTGACGTCATGATCTAGATTTTTCCTCAATAGGTACCATCCGTTATTTTATATTATCTATAGTATAAAAGCCATTTTTATGGTCTACATGTCGCTTATTACGTCTCCCATAGTTAGTAGCACAGACAGTTTAACTGTGCAAATGACCTAGAGACAGGAAAACCGTTATAAAAAACTGATGGTTAACAACAAAGATGCGTCATTCAGACAATTTTTTTTGTTATTATAACAATAATGGAGTAATAAACGAATTTGACATAAATACAAACCGCGAGTCCGACTTGCACACCGAGGGTTCTGAACTATGTATAATAACTGCAAGTGTCTCTACATGTTAGATTGTTACCTTTGGACGACGAAATGGCTAAACAGATTTTAATGAAATTTGACCTGATGATAGATTGTATTATGACAATATTTTATTTCAAAATAAGCAGACAAAGTTACAGATAACAGCTACTATCTTAATGAATTACTATTGTACTCAATATGGTTATAAAATCCGACTGCGAAGGGTTTCAGACGTTTTATTTAAAAACTGTGGTAGGTTTATCTTGTTGTATAATGTCTCTAAACATTCTTTCGTTTTCCTTGTAATTTTTCAGAAGTAATTTGAAATTTATTTAATTAATTATTACAAATGACTTTTTTCATATATATACTTCTTGTTTCGCAATCCTAAAAGGAATTTCATTGCAATGTTAGTAGCCTTCAACCTCGGTGGTAGATAATCCCTTATTCATACAATGCATGTTTATTCTGTAACAGGTTTCTAATTGTCTGCAATCAGTATGCGGTGTCCACACCAGGTTAGGAGTTGCATTGCTGGAATGTTGCATAGTAAATTCGAAATTAAATTATCCAATGTAAGTATTTACATAAACTCAAGGTTTTTCGAAGTATTATGCGACAAAACCACGTACCTAGGAGAATGAATAAGAATATGAGAGGTAATAAATGAATTAAGAATAATGAGAAGAACAACTAACGAATTTACTAGTCTAGAAAATGTTAGAAATAATTAAAAGTTAGAAAATACATTCACTTTGTTTCACCTATATCAGCCGCTCTAAACAGTTTTCTATTCGGTCGAACGCAGTGAAATTATAGGGTACTAACAACTTGCCCCAACTGGCACGGGCCCAATACTTGAGGTTCTTCTTTTATTAAAACTTAATATCTCCTAAAGCGTACATTGCGTTTGCGTACAAGCGTACATTGTAAAGGACAGTTTTGTCCAAAATTAAATACCGAATTTACTTTGATAACGGTTAATATCATGTAAACATGACATAAAAACACTTTTGCAAATAATGCATTATTTTAGATGAAATTCTATTACCATAAAAAAGGTTATAGTGACTTAACCGTAACATATAGACTGAAATATGATTTAGCGGACTTTTTTTAGAATTTATAAGGAAAACAATGGCGTAATACATGTTTTTTTGCGTAACTTTAACCGTTTACACAGCGCTCGCAGAGAAAGCATAAAAAATATATATTTTTTGCCACATTACCTCTAAACTTTACATCTTTATAATCATATATGTATATAAAATTCTCGTGTCATAATGTTAATTACTCCTCCGAAACGACTTCACAGATTTTTTTGAAATTTTATGTGCACATTCAGTAGGTCTGAAAATCGGCTACTATCCACTTTTTATACTATTTATATATTTTATATTTTGGACAAAATTTTTGTTTTGTAAAATGTGGCATTAAAATATATATAACCCTAAATTTTCACCCTTCTATCACCAACCCCTATTTTTAATAGCGATTTTAATTTATATGGCAAAACAACGTTTGCGGGGTCAGCTAGTTTTAGTATATAGACATTGCCTTCCCTAGGTAGGCCATCAGCTTGTTTCTTTGCAATTTCAACTACATATAGAAGATAAGAGATCGACACAAATGCATGTCCACAGGAAAGTCAAAGTACATAATAAAGTACTAATGATTCTGCGTAAACGACGTGAGGTAATGTCCATATACGGCGCGTGCGCATAATGAGGTATTGAGACGCGACGGTCACCACGACGCGACAACGGCACCGGCGACGATGGTGACTCAGCTGACAGTCATCGACCTTATATGCAGGTAGATAATGTTGAATGATCAATATTATCTGACATTGCTTGTGTAACATTGATTCTATATATATATTAAAACTTAAATTTCATTATTTAATATCTTAGGGTACAGCAAACTAAATCAAATCAAGCAAACCCTGCAAGTCAAATGGCAATGGGCTGGTCATATCTCACGTGTCATAGATGGCAGATGGACAATCAAAGCTACAAAATGAAAGGACCAAAGGGAAATAGGAAAGGTAGAAGAACAATAAGACTATATAGGAAAAGACTGGTTAACTATGGGCAAAACAGAGAACATTGGAAAAAGATAGAGAAGGCCTTTACCCAATGTTGGGGCCAAATTATCGATTAAAAAGT